GTCTTTGATTGTATTGGTTACTGATAGATTAGTATCATTAACTCTGTAAATATGATCAATGGCATCATGGCTTCGTGAAAATGTTATCTTTTGACATTTATTCAAATTCAGTTTCAATAAATTGATATGGCACCATCTGGAAAAATTTGGCAGTCCCTATATCACCATAAGTTTTGTCTGTTTCATCTCTGGACACCCTGGTAATGAAAAAGAGAATCATTGGTCTCCCATGTGAAAAAAATCGATGAAAAAAACTGTTCTATCAGCTGACACTTGACCACCCTCTATAATCCGATAGAAAAAAATGGTTGCTCTGCAATGGAGGGTTAAGATACTTGCACCACACTTCTGTAAATTGAGAAAAAGCTTTATCCAAATGTATTAATCATCACTATCTTCCTCTGAATTCTTCTCCATTTTGACAATATGTTCCGAAATGTCTATCTCAATTTTACAGTCACTTTCAAAGTTTTCTACTTTCACTTCATTTGCACACAATGTTCATAAAATGAACAACAATGGTAGATTTCGGGAGAAAAACAACTACTTCCCTGGCTATAATGCCACGCAGGACATTGAATTACATCCTTCCGAAATCTATGCATCGACTCGTATAAACGAATACTGATACAAGTGATTCTTTCCTGAATGCCTATCGATTTCGATTTAGCCAGGCCACGCCAGACAACCACAGACCGGTTTCGAGATCTTTGACTCTCATCAGTGCAGTGTAGTCTCCAGCCAGCAGTCCTAAGACCGCCGACTCGGCGAAGCATGGCCAAACAAAAATCAAGTCGTCATTATATTCCCCCCGAGGCGTCTTTCATCGACAATATGAAAGTAACGCCATCTGAGTAGAACAGAGGAAAGAATCACTCCAAAACTATAATTCCCATACGGGAATGGCTGGTTTCCCGACTGGCGTAATTTCAACAACGAAATAGCCACAATGCTCAAAGTGGAATAAAATGTTAAATAAATAAATACATTCAACTTCAGATTATTAAATAAATAAATACATTCAACTTCAGATTATTTCGAGTTCATTCTATAAGTCAATAAATAAAAATCATTTATCAACAGTTTACTATATAATATTATGTAGGTATACTTGCCTACTATTCAAATGTCAAAACCATCAAAAATCTTCATTATCCAAGTAATTTTTTAATAATATTTCAGTGTGAAATTTTCTTACCGAATACCACTTCAGCTTCAATTAATATCCGGGAATTTTTTGTCAAGACAACCTAAATTAATGTTTCCCAACGACCAACCACCGACTGCATTTTGTGGATACACCTTGAGGAGCGAAATTGGGCTTCACTTCTGATATTGAATTGAACCCACGACCGGCAAGCGGACGCGGATTAGAATATTGACGCTTCGTCTGCGCGGCTACCTAGCCACTATTATTCTACAACTAATTTTCTAGTAGTGTTTTTATAATGTTTGTAAGTACCCAATTTTGACGAAAGAAACTTAATCTCCGACCCCGAAAACCCCCAGATACTAATTTTTGATAGAATCGGATCATGATTACAAATCCTGTCCGCTATATTGTATTCGCCATATTGAATTTTACAATTTCGACAAAAGCATCATAATCTCCGACCCCGAAAACCCCCAGATACCAATTTTGGATAGAATCGGATCTAATAATTACAAAACTCGTCCACCATATTGGATCCGTCATCTTGAATTTTGTCGAAAGAATCATGATCTCCGACCACGATACAAATTTGAAAAGATTCAGATCATAATTACCGGCATTTTTTATTATTATTATTATTATGTTAAATAATCAGTATTTTTGTCATATGTGTTATTCCAACCAGGTGATGGGATTTTGGAGGGAACTGTTTTTTTTATATCTTGAAGCACACGAAAGGAAATTTCTTTTAAGTGCAGAAAAAATATTTTGTATTCATTGAATTTCGAACCCCTGGTAATTCGTAAAATTTGTATACCTCTACTTCAAAGCGGGAAACTATCAACCTCCCCAGAAATCGAAACATGTACGGGGCTAAGTAGAACGGGACCTACACTTTGAAGCGGAAACCGAACTACTTCTAAGGAAAGGAAGCAGATAAGCGGACAGGATTGATATCATGACCCCCGCCTTTTGAACCAAAAAATTCATTCGCCTGCCGGATTCGAACTGTCGTCATTTCGGACACTATAATAAATAGACAGCATACTAGATTAGACAACGAACGAGCGAGGCATCTTGCCCACTGAGCTAAGTTCCCCAATTTCTCTGAAATTCCTCGAAATGCCTTCATTTCCTCGAAATTCCCCTAAAGAAATTCCCCAAAATTCCCCGAAATTCCTACGAAGTGTGAAGTGTTTGAGAAATTTTTCTGTGGTTAACCCCTCGCCTCTCGGCGATTCTTCTACAGCTGCTACCGCTACCACTGTTTTTTTGCGACCTACGGGAAAAATAATCAACAAAAAGTTGGGAACGAAAAATGAAACGTAAATATCCCCTTCTTGTGAATCCATGACATATCCGTCTAAAGTGTTGACCGTGCATCAAGAGTTTTTCATATTGCAGGTGGAATGAAAATTTGAATTTGTTGTTTTTATAAATGAACATGTAGATTTTTTAGTGATCCATATTTCATCATAGATCATGATCATATACACACATTACCTACTGATAATGTGAAGGAGATATCCAGGATACCATGCTTTGCAATATGTAATAGTCAAGGGTCAAACTACCTACTTTCTACATGACCCTTTGAGTATGGTATGGAGCTCAAATTTTTTGAATACTTGATTCTGTCACTATGTTTCAATAGAAGTTAAATTTTTCCATGTCTGATCATGCATCAAAAAGGGAGTTTAAATGGTCTACTAGGTTTCAGTAGTACCTTCACAATAAGTGTATGCATAAATATGAGGCCTGTGCAGTTGTGCTTGGTCTACCTGCTCAACTTGATTTTTTTCTATGACTTTTTCTGTTTAGATCATGCCATGAACAGAGACAACTATGAGAAAAAAACCAACTTCAGCAAGTTTAGCAATACAAACAAACTTCCTGCATAATTACAAATCATGTCTGTTCATGTAGCAGATCTATTATTGTGCCCCAATGGATGAGGTTGTTCTCCATGAGATCAATTTCTCTAGTCCTATATATTCTTCAAATTTGGTATAAAAATACTATTATGATAATTGCGAGGATAATTGTTTGTTCCTTTAATAAAAGAACGATTCATATAACATTACTCAACTCATTTCCTTGGTCAATTCAATTGAAAAACCACTAATATGATTCATCATGGTTAAAATGGAGCTGTAACCAAGACCAAGACATAATACCTTCTAGTCCTTGTTCTAGTCCTGCCCCTATTTATTGAATGAATTCTTATATGTATATTGAAAAATACCTGGAAATCCCTCTATGACTACAATGAGAAAATTCAGTCAAACATGTAGTTCATTACTGGAATTGAAGTTCAAATGAGGATGCAATTATTATAGCTACTGTAAAATAACAAGTGAATTCAGAAATAATATGCCTTTACAAATGATATAAAAGTACATAGGCGACCTAACCTAGTATTTGCTGTGCTCTCAAAGTTGATACTACTTTACAGTTCACTAATAATCACCCCGAAAATTGAACTTGAATCTGATGTTATATGAATCTACTTGAGACTTGAATTTCACTCACTTTGAAGATGATTGATCAGCTAGTCGTCTCACAGGTCAGTTTAGTAGGATTGTAATGTAATCAGTTCATCTATTTTAGACTCAATCTCAGCCTAGGCGAAACATTTTTTAGCCATTTTTTGGCAAATTAGCTATTTTTCCAAAGTACCAAACACAATGAACTGAATGTAAACAAAAACAACAAACATTGAAAATTTAGTGAAGATGAAGAAAGAAGAAGTAGAAGAACTGAAGACATTGACGTATGACGTGATGTGTTGACGACATTGACGTCAACGTCAATTTGTTATGGAGTGCCTTTTTACTTTACTAACTACATTGGATCGAATGTATGGCAAAAATTGTGTTTTTGCAATAGTTCACTGCAGGAATTGACATTTTTACAATACTTGAAGTGCAATGTATCGTAAAAATTGTTATTTTTGCTACACAATGCGGCAATGTATTGCAAAAATTGGCATTTTTACAATACATTGCCACAATGTGTTGCAAAAATGAAACGTTTTTACAATACATTGCCGCAATGTGTTGCAAAAATGTAACGTTTTTACAATACACCAACTCACAATGTATGGTAAAAACGATGGTGAGATACATCTACTATTTCCATATATGGCGTATGGCCTATACGATATCTAAATAAAAATGGAACCAAAATGAGAGGTACTTTTTAATCTATAAAGACGGAACGTGAAGGATGGAAATAGTCATATTGGTTTGACAAGTTTCGTATTATTTTTTCCCTATGTTGGCTTTGAGGACAGCTATGATTCATATATGAATAGTAGATATATGCGGGAAACATACAGGCGCGGGAAGCAAATAATGTAGGTTAGTCACCCTTTTTTGCGGGAAGCGTGATCTGATTTTGAGCGTGTGATCAATCCAACTTAAACATCTCAGATCAATCGGCCATGTGACATTATTCGATTTAGAGGCGAAAAACTATCGATAGTCGCCTCACACGATACATCGATGGTACTGATGAAAAGTCATCGATACTGTCGATAAACTATCGCTTAATATGCCCGATATGAAAATGACAGTGGCAGCCTGAAAGGTGGGTCCCTTGATGCAAATTGACGTATTTGTCATCTTAAGGGACGCTAGGATAACCTAACTGTGAACCTGTGAACATTCTTGACTACAACTGATCATTTTCCATCATTTATTTGCAGACATCTGATAGTTTTGACAGTAATAGTTTGACATTCTGTACAGTTTTTCAGATCGAATCAATGAGTTCTGTAATTCGAGTCTTAAGACTATCGATTATTTTGAACCTGTTTTGAACTATCGATATCGATACAGCTATCGATAGTCCGACACCACTAATTCGATTGTTTTGTTTGTGTTTTTGGATCTGACATTTTGATTCCAACATTTTTCAATTTTTGATATAATTTTTTTATATTATGCAGTTGAAGTTACGTTGAGTTCATCCTAAAACGTAATTACTCAGTGGAAATATATTATTATATTCCTTTGAAAATGGTCATTCTACAGTTGGAAGAACAGGTGATTATTTTAGGTTATATTTCATATCCCATAACTAGAAAATAAATTTTCTATTCTCATCTTCTAGCCAGCAATAATTCAGGCTATATTTGCTGGAGTTATAGATCCAGATGTAAGGGAACTTATCGAGTTCAAACAAGATGTCAACTGCTTAGGTAAGTGGTCAAATTATTTTTTTCAAATCATAGCTGATATTCAAAAATTAACACGTTGGCTACCATATGAGTCTCATGTGATGCACACTCTCATTTGCTCTACAAACCACCGTAAAAAATCGCATACTTCCTCTCTGTACCAAGTGAAGAATCAAACTCAAAACGTAGCTTTTCGCTACAAGATGTCGTTATATTGTATTCTGAAGCAGATGCCTTCATCTCGATAGAGTTTGCTGAAAGATCACCGGTGATTCACATGGTACATAAATGAACCATTTCATCATATGATTATAGGGAACTCCTTATATATTGTTGTTTTTTCTTCGATTATAAGCGCCTTCAATCAGACCTCCATGAGAAAATAATGGACAATTAAGACTAAAAACGTATTTCGAGTAGTACGCAAAAATTCAAAGATGGCAGCAAAACATACAAAATTGGTTACCACCTTATACCCGGAATGCCCCGAGAAACCTTCATACTATTTGGACTGTTTTCCAAAAAAAAAACAGTATTTTGTACAATGATTATTGATAAGGTTATTTTTTACTTATGAGTGTAACAATTTCAATAAAAAATTGACAAGAGAGTGAGCGGTGCGTCTTTTCATCAGAATAATCCAGTCAATTTCTATACCTAGGCATTTTCCAGATCTATGTGTATCACTGGTGATACCCACTTCAACCCGATATTATTTGGTTCATACCTGTACCATACCCACAATCTAATTCCTTCGTTTATACACTAGGCTTGTCTACAAGCATTCAAATAATATGTGTTCAATATCACTGGTGATACATAAAGTACAGAAGTGAACTATGAAAAAGCATCACCGGTGATACATATGGTACCCTGGGTCAGAATGTTGAAATCAGGCTTGGTAGTCAACGTGTTAATTTTCATTTTAGCTACATAGGTAGAATTTCTTCAGACATTTAATAGTTATCTCAAGGTCTCGACCATGGTGTATATTACATTTTTTTCACCACTAGCAATACAGGGTGTCCGCTAAAAGGAGGTCAATCCATTAACCATATTATTATATTCCTTGAACAAAAATAATATGAGTTTCTAAATACCATTTTTCATTTTAGCCCTTCATATTCGATATACAGGGTGTCAATGTTGGACATTGAAAACTGTTTTTTTTTTCTAATTACTGGCTTATTTATCAAGGTATCAATCTCAAAACTGGTACATTACTTCAGCACAAAGAGTTACATTGTGTGAGGAGAACAAAACAGAAAATAAGTGTCAAATATTCAAAATACTGGGGGTCAAGTGCACACTTACCCCCATATTTTTTTGTACCTGTGCTAATGACTTCCAATTTATTTTTCTTCAAGTGTTCAATCCTTTTTGAGTATTTTTTGTCTCTTGTAAAATTTCCATAAAATTATTTGTTTTTATGATGATTCAAAAAGTACTGGTTATTATTTGATGCCTATGCAGCTTATGGTAATCTCATAATGTTCACATACTCCTATTTATTTCGTCGAAATTGCAAGAGGGCGTATTTTTTTACACACGAAAAGGTAAATATGGAAATTCAGGGGGTTCAGAGTGAATGTTTTAAATTTTTTACAAAAAAAAAATAAAAAAAAGTGAGGACACGTGTTGAATAAAATTTTTTTGCCAATCGGTAATAGGGTACTCAATTTTAAGCGAGATGACTGATTCATTATCTTCATTTTGTTACTCTTGTGGAAATTTCGAATTCCCTAAAGTTCCGAAGGAAAAACATGTTTTCCTTGATAATGCTAACAGATATTTCTAGTGAAAGTTTAATTAAAAAAATAACGTTCGGCCTCTGTTTCCACTGACAACAAAATATTTTGTCATTATGATATCAAACTTTTACCAGGATTGTCTGTTACCATTATTTAAGAATAAGTTTTTTTTTCTTCGGAACTATGCGATTACGGAATTTTCGCTCAAAAATTTTGAGGAACCTCTCACCACCCCTGAGAATGTTCTGAACAAAAAATTCAGGTTGTGAGGGTGGTTTCAACCCTTCAACAATTTCTTTTGGGTTTCTTTAATTACCAAAAGAAAGGAAATTCTCTATAATGCACTTTTGTCAAATTTCATCCAATTTGTTTCACTCATTCTTGGAACAGTATAAAAAATTTTGTTTTTCTATGTAAACTTCACGTTTGAACTTTGTAATATAAATAAATTGGGTCCAATCTACTTATTTTGAACTGTATTACACGTGGTAACTCTGTATCCCAGTAATTTTGGGACACCCTGTATATTTCTTTTGTGGGGAAACGAATTTTGCAATCACTAAAAGCTATACAGGGTGGACAAAATAAAAAAAATCTATGCATTTTATTAACATATTTGTAGGAACTTCTAATCCTAAAATAAGCCAAGGAACCACCTACTTCATTATACCTGGTGATTTTCCAAGGTGGTTCACTCCTGAAACTTTTCTATTCATTTCTTTTTTCAATTCAATTCAATTTATCAATGGTTATTAAATACATGTAAAAATTAAATAATAGTTACATGTGATAAATTACATAGCTTACAGGCCTGTTTGGTGAGTTCCACATCACTAATGCCATCTGAACAAAAAATGTATATCATTATTTCAGGCAAAATAACAGTGAAATCAATTAAAAAGGAGAATACGATAACTTTAAGAGAACTTGGGTGATATTTTGCGAACAATTTCGTAGTGAGAAATGAGAGGATATTATTTACGTTTAAATAAATACAAAAAGCTCAAAGTCATATCCACTAGAGTCCCTGTATGTATTTGACACTTTTGCTATTATAACAAAACTGACAAATATATACAGGGAATTATACATACAGGGACTCTAATATCCACAAGTTCATAAAATTGTAGTTTTATTGAGAAAAACAAGTACTTTCCAGACTCATATAAACGAATACTGATACAAGTGAATCTTTCCTGGATGCCTATTGATTTCGATTTAGCCAGGCCACGCTTAAAAGATGAAATAGTCATATCTATAGGTTCGATAGTCATTGAAACGGGCTTTCAGAAACTGAAAAATTATTGGAAATCGGTTGAGGAAATCAAAAGTTATAATGATTCAAATTTGATCGAAAAAATGCGATTTTACGTTTCATGTGTTGAGCAGTTTATAATGAATGTTGCATGAATCGGCCTTAAAATCTTTCTTTACTTATCTTTTTCAAATAATTTCTAAACGGCTGAACCGATTGGGTGGAAAATTTAAATGGGTATATCGATGGTTTCCTGGATGATTTAAAAATAAAATTGGACCTGTAGGTGGCTCTGCTGTCGGTACGTCAACTACTAAACGGCTTGACCGATTTGGTTGAAACTTTTAATACACACAACAACAATAAAAAAACACAAGATATTGAAAGGATGAAAATAGGTATGAGTATATAATAGTAGCTATAAGTAAGCACATAAAAATAGAGAAAAAAAATAACGAAAAATATGTACTGTAGATACGCGCATAGCTCAGAACGACTGCAACACATGTCTTATTTTTCTAAATTGGGTACACCAATCGTGCGAAGCCGGGCCGGACAGCTAGTTAAACTACAAATCACAACAATTTCGTTTCGCTACATTCAATAATAGATCAGTTATAGGGGTGAACTATCTTGTTAAATCACCCGGCATACATAACATTAACAAATAGCCTGTATAATGGTTTTTCATTAATTTCCCGGATGAATAATAATCTGAATGAAGGCAACTTTCTCATTTGTTTTATTATTACCTGATATATTATCTGGAAATCTTATTGTTTGTAAAAGTTGTGTGATCATGAAAATAATGTGTTTAGATTGCGAAAAGCGAAGTCCATTGCACGCGGCAGCTTTCAAAGGCGATCCGACGATTTCCGCTTTGTTGCTGCGGAACGGCGCCAGAGTGAACGCCAAGGACAGCAAATGGGTGACGCCATTACACAGGTAGGTGATCTTCCTTCTTTTTAGATTCATCAATGTGTTTATGCACGACCGGGAGTAAAGTAGTAGTATAAAGACAGGACATCTTTGTTTTAGTTGTTATGGCTCATTATCTAATATTAAAGTTCTCTTGAATGCAAAATGATATGATCCAACCCAAAATAAGTTATCTGCGATTAGATTCATTGACAGCAAATGTAATAGTCTAAAAACTTGATTCCATCAATGATATTCCTCACTGCAGCCATGATATATTTATATCGTTCTTGAGAGGTGAAGAGGTATTCACAGTGATTTTTATTTGGGCGTAAAATAGGCTTTCATGGACCGTAGCATGTAAGAAACACGCAAAGGTCCATAATAGTATATTATTATACAAGTTTTATAACACACTATTTTGTCGCACGCGTTGTTTGGAGTATGATTAGTATAAGTATAATATACTATTTTTTCTATTTTGCATCCATTTGTACTCTTTTATTTGAAGAAAAATATCAACAAGAACATCAAATATTATAAAGATATGAAGTAAGTATAGTTCATTCCGAAATTTGACAGATGATAGGTAAATTATTCAAATTAATATCATTATTCCAGCAATATAATTTAAAATTGTTGGTCTATCAATATTATGAATTTCCGATTTTGAGAATGACTGAAGAGACGAACTTGAGTTGCACCCCTCCTGAACTGAGGGAATTTGCCCAAACGGATATAAATGATTTGTTGCCCAAAAAACCTCGTCCAAATTTCGAAAAATAGTTCCACAATTTTCAAGTATGGTGTCAAACTGGCGACCTATACCACCACACTATGTGAATGTAAACGCTTCTTGTTGACCTATATACCGCAATGGTTAGTGCATCAGCTCTTATAAAAATGCACTTCACACACACAGACACCCATCACCACAGACAGACACTGGCACAGGCGAAACTGACAAACAAAAGCCCCCACATACCAATTTTGAATATAATCGGACCATAATCACGAAACTCATCTGTCATTCTGAAGCAGTCATCTGAAATTCTTATCGTGTGTGTTCAATAGATATAATTCAATATTCGTCGTGGCATATAGCCAGGAAAGTAGTTGTTTTCTGTTGAATAAACCGAGAAAGAATTAATATTTTCATCGCATGGAGAATGCGAATTCTCAATGTATTTCTTTATATATATATCCATTTTTTGTGTTCATAAATATATCTGAGAAAATTCCATTTCAATACTTTCACCCAATCAAGGGGTTCAAACTTGAACGATGGAAACTTGTTATTTTCAGAGACCTCAATCGCAGTCTACCTTGGTAGAAAAAAACACTCTTTACGCCTTGAAAAGAAGGAAATGATGGGATCCATTTTGTTGTTCCAAATATTACCTCTCTTATGGTAATGCACTGTTGGATGAGGAAATTACGAGTATTCAAAACCAAATATCAATCCAATTGTTTTTTTATTTTCAAATTATGTGCATAACATTTTGTAACTGTTGCAATTGCAAAAATATCAAATTTGATATCCCGAATTAGTTCTATCTTGTGCCAAATTCTGCTTGAAACGGTCGCACATTCGCACCTAAAAATAGTGAATCTTGAAAATTCTCCGGACGCCGATAGAGATTCGTTGTGTTATGCAGGGCGTGCTCGGTGGGAGCGGACGAGGTCGTATCTTTGTTGCTGGGCCACGACGCAGACGTGAACGCCAGAGACAGGCTGTGGCAGACGCCGCTCCACGTCGCCGCCGCCGCCAACGCCACAGAGGACGCCGTCCGGTGCGTCGCGATGCTGCTCGACCGGGCACCTAACGTCAACGTCGCTGACAGGTGATTATGCGAGGACTGGTTGGTCCTTCCTTTCCCTCCTTCCTTCCTTGCTTTCCCTCCTTCCTTCTTTTCCCTCCTTCCTTCCTTCCTTGCTTTCTTGCACCTTTTCTTTCTTTCTTTTTTTTCTTTATTTATTTTTTCTTTCTCTCTTTCTTTCTTTCTATCTTTCTTCCCACTAAGCAAAGTAATATCTCAACAATATTGCAGCAGTATTTCAATGTAATGTGTAATGTTGCAACAGATATTGTCGCTATCTTACTGTAAGGTCGCAGCAACTACTGAAACGAATATTCAGCAATATTATGAATGTTATGTTCGCGAATGAATCATTCCAGAAAAGGTATTGTAACATTGTGTATGAAGTACATTTCATTTCATTAATTGATTAATTGATTAATTGATTAATTGATTAATTGATTAATTGATTAATTGATTAATTGATTAATTGATTAATTGATTAATTGATTAATTGATTAATTGGTTAATTGAATTATTCACTTATTGATTTAATGACTTGTTGACTTATTGACTTGTTGACTTATTGACTTATTGACTTATCGACTCATTGACTTATTGACTCATTGACTTATTGACTCAATGACTAATTGACTCATTGACTTATTGGTGAATAGTTTATTGATTCATTTGTATATCGATTCATTGATTTACTGACTAAAACATTTCTGATTTAATTGAATATTTATTTTGATTTGTTCGTATTCATAGCAACGTCTACCTTAGCTGATGAAATAGAAGAGTTGATTCCTCGTTAAGTAACAGAGAGCTTTATGCAACCAGCCCTGATTGATCTATTTTCAAATAATTTTTAATTTTACAGATTTTATCGATTTATTATTTCGTCGCTTAATTCTATTATTGATTTGATTTATTGATTCATCATCGATTTGTCGATTTTTCGATATATCAATTTGTTGATTTATTGATTTATTGGTTTATCAATTCCTTATTCCATCGATTAATTAGATCGTTGATCTATTGATTCATCGATTCATTGATTCATGATAGATTTATTGATCCATCGATTTATCGATTCACTGAAGAGAAACCCATCCTCATTCAAAAGAGGGAAAAGCCTTCCAGCTATCTAAGAGTTCTTTTTTTCTTTAGATCGGGCAGAACGGCCCTGCATCATGCCGCCTATAACGGGCATACCAGGGTGGCAGAATTGCTGATCTCTCGAGGGTGTATGGTGGATGCTTGCGACAAAAAGGACTACAGGTGGGTGCCAAAAATTCACCCACTTTATCACAAAATCAAATATTTTGAAAAATACCAGTCCGATTCTGGAACAGCTCGTTCCATCTTATGGACAATATCATTGGGGATGAGATTATACACTTATCTCTACATGTGAGGTCTGCAGGTCGAAATGTACAACATTTTACAAACAGTTATTTATTATATAGAAATGCCTCTGAAATATCGAATTTATTCAACAATCACTTCATAAATGCTCCCAAAGAAATCATTAACAAAATTGATCAAAGAAATATAAATAATACAGAATATCCAAAAATTGAACTGAATAGCTTTTCAATCTTTCTCAACCCTTTTGCTGCACAAGAACTGGAAATACTACTGAAAACTAAACTAAAAAAGAAATATTCGGCGGGACATGATGAAATCCCATCATTTTTATTGATAAAATGCCTGAATAGCATCATTGAACCCATGACGTTCCTAGTGAACTTATCCTTCTCAACAGGAAATTTTCCTGTTTCACTGAAAACAGGGAAAATCATTCCCATCCATAAAAAGGGCCCTGACAATCTTATGGATAATTATCGGCCTATAACCATTACGCCAAATTTCTCAAAGATTTTTGAATACTCATTTTTGGATCGCCTGTTGAATTTTCTGAAAAGGTTTGATATTTTCAGCAAAAACCAACATGGATTCAGGATCAATCATTCAACAAATACAGCTGCGATTTCTTTCCTTGAAAAAGTCATTGAAAATCTTGAAGCAGGAGAATGCCCTGCTGGGATCTTTTGTGATCTCAGCAAGGCATTCGACTGTGTTAACCATCAGCTCTTATTATCAAAATTAAATAACTATGGAGTTAGGGGTCCAGCACTTCGATGGATTTCTTCATTCTTAGTTAAACGAATGCAATATGTAAACATACCAGAACGCATTTCGGGTGTAGTCACTCATATAAATTCTGAAACTGAACTGGTTAACATTGGAGTCCCACAAGGGACCATATTAGGGCCAATTCTATTTCTGCTGTATACCAACGATCTTGATAAGCATTTAACAGATACCTATTTAACGATGTATGCTGATGATACCTCACTGATAGTATCGGATGTGAATGAAGCTAAAACACAACAGAATAGTGAACAAGTATTGAACTCTTTATATGAATGGTGTAGCTTGAACTTTTTATATCTGAATGCCTCTAAAACACAAATTGTGAAATTCCACAACTGGCAAAGAAAATGCTCCCCATTAACTGTCTGTGTCAATGACGTGTCAATTGACAATGCCACTGAAGCCAATTTCCTGGGTCTGGTGATTGATGAGAATGTCAACTGGAAAAATCACTGTATAAGTCTAACCAAAAAATTAAATTCTTTATGTTATTTGTTCAGGAATCTCAGACAAGTCTTGGAGGATCCTCAATTATTATCCTTGTATCACTCGCAGGTAGCGTCCCGAATTAGATATGGTATTTGTTTATGGGGCAACTCAACTTCTGTTAATGACATATTTACTCTGCAAAAAAGAATATTGAGAATAGTGGCAGGCGTTCCTTCTACCCACTCTTGTAGAGGATTGTTTGTGAAATACCATGTATTGACACTTTTTTCTTTGTATATTTATGAAATATGTACTTTCATTTTCATGAACAAAACAAAATTTAATCTCAATAGAAATCTGCATAATGTCAATACACGACAAAAAAATAATTTCCATATCCCATTTTATAAATATAAAGTCTCGCAAAACTCATCTTCTTATATGGGTGTGATGATCTATAACAGATTGCCGAATGAAATTAAAAATTATAGTGATATTAGAAAGTTTAGCACAGCTTTGAAATGTTTTCTTACTAAGAATTGCATTTATTCTTTGGATGAATATTTTAACGTGTAAAATAATGAATATTTATGTAGAATCTTCGTCGTTCTGTTCGTATTTTTTTTGTTCCATGTTTTGCATGTTTCTTTTTCTTACTGTCTTTGACCATTCCTATACATATGTAACTATGTCCTATTGGAAAATAAATATTATTATTATTATTATTATTATTATTATTATTATTATTATTATAAAAGGGAAAAAAGTATCAAATTTGCGGAGGGATATTTTTTCCCGTCTATTTTTTTCCTGTGACAGGAAAAACGACGATTCAATATTAGGAGCATATTAAATGATATAAAAATCTACCACGAGCCCTACAAATATTATCGATAATTTTTCAAATTTTCTACTAACACTTTTATTTGGCAAGAATATGAAAACAAACCGATTGATAAAATCAGGTCCGCAGGACGAGTGGTTTCATCTAATTCGGTTCGTTTGAATGATTTTGCCTGGAATAAAAAAATTTGAGTGATGAAAATAAAAAATCATCAGATAATATTTGATAATATTTCATCAATTTGATGGAGACACTAGCAAATTTCACGAGTCAAATTAATTCTACGTCCTTCTATTATGATTGTTCAAATGGTTGTAAAGGTGACGTGTGTGGCATAAATTTGAGGTGACTACAAGCGAGGATACATATATCATATAATATAATTCTCGAAAGAAATTGAACATTATTTTTGTTAAGTTGAACGATGATTGAAAAGGTTATGTTTTGTTTTCTCGGAGAATTGATAATTGATTTTATTATTACTTACATATGAGATAGGTAGAGATAAACAATATGGCGGACACTGGTGAGTCAGATTAATTAATTAACAAGGTTTTATCCAGGACCATGCAGTTTCATTACTATAATATCGAATGATTGGCTTAAATGACGCATTGCTATAGGTTGAAACAAAGAAAAGCTCTTCTTTTGACATCTTTGTTGCTATGGAAACCTTTTGAGGTAATCAAATATCTGTCATTTGATTTAAAAAAAATATGATCTCATTGGTTGTTTAGTCATTTACGTAACCGCGAAGTGGAATGGAAGATCAAAAAAACTTTTTCTAAATACGGACCTTGATTTCTCATCTAATATTTCAAAAGCTATGAGCTATAAGAAATTTGTATTTTCGAATGTTTCGTTCACAAAAATTGACAGTTTCGTATTGGATATAAAAAAAATACAGAAAATGTCAATTTCTGTTAATGAAACATTCGAAAATACACATTTCTTATTGGTCATAGCTTTTGGCCAATTGCAAGTATAAATTCATCTACTGTGTAGAAACATTTTTCTGATAGAAATACTTTCAACTGTTTTTTAAAACTTTGAGGTGAAAGTGTCTTCATATCTCATGGCAGTATATTAAAGAGGCGGATACCAGCAAACATAGGAGACTTTCTATACTTTGCGTGACGGTGTTTTATGAGTGGTGAGCATGTGGTTATTCCAAGTATGATAATTATGGATATACTTCAATGTTTTTAGAATGAACATACAGGGAACACTTAGTATATTATTCAGACGAAAAATCTCTTTACAAGACGTTCTGTAAAAATAAGTTTCGATATCGCGCCGTCACACCCATTGAGCTTATGTATGTATGAAAGTTTCGCTTTCCAGACCGCTCCATTGTGCCGTCCAAATGGGACACGCAGACACCGTCGAACTTTTGTTGAGGTACGGAGCCGACATCAATGCCAAAGACAGGAATCAATACACGCCGTTACATGTTGCCGCTGCCACCGGTAGGTTTCATCACTGACATAATAAACTAATCACTGACATAATAAACTAATACTAAATCAAAATCAATGGGCATCAGTATTCGTTTATTCCAGTGGTTCTTAACCTTTTAGTGATGAGGGACCATTTGACTTTTTTTTTGTCTCGCCATGGATCACTTACTATTTGGAGGTAAACACATTGAATGAAAATTAATGGATGGTTGTTGTATATCAACAATGTTTGAATTTTTTGGCGGAAATGTAATATTACAGAGACAGTATACAGTGTGTCCATTTAGTGCGTAATTCTTCGATTTCTCGGAATCCATTATCACTAGAGGAAAACTTTTGAAAACAAATTTCTTCCGTTATTAAAGGTTCCATTTCAAAAATATTTTCAACAATACTGGGTGTTTTATAAAAGCGGGAGGACTCGGAGACGAGTTTTTTCAAATAGAACACCCAGTATTTTTTATTCAAAATTCATTCCGCTAAGGTTTAGCTCTACATCGCTGTGAAAAAAATTGAATTTGGTTGCGGCGTTGCCAAGTTATAATTGATAAACCCATTTTTACTACTATTGAAGGGTCTTGTTGAATTGGGTATGGTATATACATTTATTAAAATTTTGAGAAGATTTTTGGCATACAGTAGTAGTCTCAAGTACACCAATCCAGTAATTTTGCGAGATTATCCTTTACAGGGTGCTAAAATTTAATATTGTAAGATTCAGATGACGTTCACTAGAATTTTTCAAATGGAACACCCTGTATTTTTCATCACAGATTCATTTCGACATTATTCGCCTTTTCATCGCTGAAAAAAAAATTGAAATCGGTTGCGGGGTTTTCAAGTTATGAGTAATTTCCTGATGTTTATCACTATCTCAGGGCAACTTATGAGGCATTTTTTTTTTTTTTATTTTATTTATTTATTGAACAAATAACTTCCAGACAGAATAGGCTCTGGTATAAGGAAGTACATAATTATATATCTATAGGTAAACATAGCATCATTCAAAATATATCAACAACTGTAAATTGGCAAACAAAGAAAAATGGCATGTTTAATTTTATCCAGTCCGCTGAGAAATAATCAGTTTTTTTACTTCATTTTTGAATATACCTATATTTCTGCAATTTTTTATATTATCAGGTAGTTTATTGAATTCAGTTAAGGCTGAATGAGTGAATCTTTTTTGTCCGATTAGGGAGCTAGCGGCGTCAAGATGGAACAAGTTATATTGTCTAGTTTCATGATTATGAATTTCAGAATTCCGTATCAAAATAATATTCGACTTCAATTTTTTATTTATGATATTATATGATATTTTGAGAGTTTCAATTCTATATATTTCATCTACGTATTTGTTATTTCATACAATTGATTGGTTGGTGTATCAAATGGGAGACGATACAATACTTTTAACGATTTTCTATATAATGTTGATATTTTATTGAAATTATTTTTTGAACAAGATCCCCAAACATTTATTTATTAGGCATGGTTCCTTTATTTGATTTGATTGTGGGAATATTGCTTGCCACATGACATTCGAGGTTCTACATAGATCATTCAGGTATCTTTGCGATATAAGCATTGTCAAAATTTCAAATATTCCGTAATCTTGTTACTTATGATTTAAATAATATGTACCTATGTGAAACAAACATGCCAAAAGCAAAACGCCTGCCTTTAAAACAACTTCTACAAAACAAACAATGGAGATTTGAATTGCGAGAATAAGGACAATTTTTTGAAATTTGGACCACTTTTATTGTCGTTATTCCCACAATCCAAATTTTCATCAAACTTGAAGAAGGCAAACTCTACATAATGATACAAACAATATTTCTTCACTACGCGGGATTCGGGAGGGAATTCAGCAAATTTTTGAATAAATTCAAGATATTATTTGATTGTGGCGATGTTTGACAGGTCATTACACGAAAAATGGAAGTGTACTTCGAAAAATTAATTCGTTGTCGGCAAAAAATCTGTGAAAGTAGCATTTTGGATAAATTTGTCAAATCCACTCTGATTTAAATTCAAAATTGGAGAGCGTGCAAATTTTCCTATTGTAAAAAAATATATGAATAGTCAATGAAGAAATTTGATTATTTGAATGAAAGAACTATGACGTAAAAATTATACTCCGAAATAGTAGTAAAAATAAGGAAATTATCCATAACTTGACAACGCCTCAGCCGATTATAATATTTTTTGCAGCGATAAAAAGGTGAAAGATGGAGTAAATTTGTGAAAAAAAATACAGGGTGTTCCATTTGAAAAATTCTAATGAATGCCATCTGAATCTTGCGAAATTCTAAATGCAAAATAGAGCACCCTGTTAAAGAACTTGTCGCAAAATTACTGAATTTGTATACGTGAGACCTTGCTACTACCGTATGCCAAAAATATTTTCATAATTTGAATAAATGAATATACCATGCCCAATTCAACATGACTCTTCAATAGTGGTAAAAATAGATTTATCAATTATAACTTGGCAACGCCGTAACCGATTTCAATTTTTTTTACAGCGATGTGAAGGTAAACCTCGGCGGAATAAATTCCGAATAAACAATACTGGGTGTTCCATTTAAAAAAACTCGTCTCCGAGTCATCCCGCTTTTATAAAACACCCAGTAATGTTGAAAATATTTTTGAAATAAGCAACTCAAGTAACTGAAGAAGTTTTTCCTTCAAAGTTTTTCTCTATAGGTTATGGCTTTGGAGATATCGAAGAAATACGCACTAAATGGACACACTGTATAACGCTCAATACTTGGTTCAGTACTACTCGAAGCCGTATTACGGCACTAGAGTCCATCCGATTTCGGTGCTTGATTTTAATGATAAGAAGCGCCTATAACCCTTGCTGATGAACATATTTCAACATTTTTCTCTGAAATAGGGCAGGTCCAGTTAGGGGTACCTCAGGGGTCCATATTAGTTTGGCAACAGTGCATCCCTAGTGTTGAGGTTCAACATTTTTTTATTGTTTCATATTTTTATTATGTTACTTCTTCGAAGTTACCTCTGCATCAGAGCAGTGCGTTTCGTCGATTTTTTAATGTTTGTATAGAAATAAATCAATTAATCACTGTCTGTCGAATGAAATAGATATGTCATAAAAAATCTAATTTTATATCATCATGTAATTGTATAGTTGTATATTCCCCTGAATTAAACCAGAATTGGAATCAAGCAAACTCTCGACAAACTCAATCAAGATATTATACAGTCCACTCTCCGCTCACTCAAGAAAAGGGCACAGTCCCTAACACCTAGGGTATGTTCGGAGACTGCAGAAATAAAGAAATGTGGGGCTAACGAAATGTGGGCCTATCGAAATGTGGGTGTATCACAATGTAGGTGTAACTCAATGTGGGCTTGAGGAAATGTGCGCAGAAAGTAATTTGGGTGTAGCGAAATGTAAGTGTAACTCAATGTGTCGATGAGCCCACAATGACTTTTCAGTGAATTCTGGTATATTGGATAGTATTTGGCAACAGTGCGTCGTTCGGGTATGTTCGGAGACTGTATGAATATCGAAATGTAGGGCTAACGAAATGTGGGACTATCGAAATGTGGGAACAACGCGATGTGGGAGTATCGAAATGTGGACACAAAGCAGCGCACCCGGCAAAACCGACAGCACCATCATGAAATAAATTGCAGATTCCATTATTACTTATATTGAGATATTGATCTAAGTCCTCAATTTTATATGGTTCAGAGCAAAAGTGTCTAATAACTGTGTCTGATATTGGAGAGGTTTTTAATCTCCTTAACTTTACTAGGAAGCATAGTATTATCAAATTCTACACATTTATGAAAACTGCCTTTTTCAAGAGGATTGGTCTTATGTAGGGTCCCTTGATGCAAAATGACGTATCTGTCATCTAACAGGGTACGGACAGATCATAGCACCTTTCTCTTTTAATCATCAAGTGACTTTGGTTTCGTGTATTGGCATTGCTGTCACGTCACATTCACGGCGTTAAAAGAGATCTTACAAAATTTGAATTTCATACCTTATCTTGATACGATATTATTCAATTCTGTTTTGGAAGGATGGTAAAATGTGCTGCGTTAGGCTGTATCAATCAGTTGGATGGCAAATTTGAATTTGTCAGCTTTCCATCAAATGCAAATAAATTCAGAACATAGAAAGTGAAGTGGCCGAAAGGGGAAAATTGGTAAATATATCAGCAAAATATTCGACGCAAAACTATAATGAAATCACACATTATACTTTCTCATTGTGCCTATAATCATCCACTCCAAAAGTTTTTGAATGCATTTTAGTAGAAACAGTTTTGATTAAGGTTCATGTAAACCCACGTGAAAAAAAACTGCAAGTTCAAAAATTTTGAAAAAAATCTGGTATATCAAGGTTTTTAATTGAAAACTTCTGTGAGATTTTGATGAAAATCTATCGAACGAATTTTGAGAAAAAAAATTAAAACTCCTTTTTTTATAGGTTTTTTTTAGTTTTCACAAAAACTGTTCGATGAATTTTTGTCAAAATCTCACAGCAGTTTTTAACAAAAAATTAAAATATGCCTGATTTTTTTGAAAATTTTTGAACTTACAGTTTTCCTACAATAGTGAATTAATCATTGAAAGTTGCTGTAAAATCTATATTATTCGAAAAATATGATATATTTTGATTATTCATGTAAGATGTAACGAATACGGATTACTTGAATCCTATTTCAGTCATAAACAATGATTTATTCGATTTTAAAATAGGGTTTTCAAAACCCCTTACCAAATTCCTCTCAAATAGATTAATCGCTCCAGCAGGTGCTGCCTCTGCTGGTAATAGTCATAATCTAAAGTAGTTTCGCTACTGGCCACGAGTATCGCATAAAATGTCTGACCATCATAATATTTGTTGTACAGCGTTGCCAATATGTCTAGATAAAGACAACCGATAAATGAGCGTCTGTGGACAGTTTTTCCCTTTTTGACTTGTGAATATTGAATACATTCGCGGGTCTAATGAAGGGAGGGATGGGTCGTGTTGAATTATTTCATATTCATATGAATATTAAGTCAATTCAGTTGATTATTGTGATGAACAATGAATGCTTCGCAGATGAAATTTTTTATTAATAAAGAAAATGCCTTTCGAATTAGAAGTTTGGTTTTTCGGACATGCATCATGCACTTCATGTACCGGGAAGTGAAAATTTCATCCGAAATAATAAATTTTTTGTTGACGATAGAAATATATATAGGTATCTTCATCTTCATTGTGTCATCAACTTGCTCATGGAAGTGCCCCAAATGTTAGGGGCCTCTTCAGATTTTTATTATCCACCATAATGCCCATCTATGGAGGTTTTCATGGTTATTCCTCTAGACAACAACTAACCATTTAACTTTCATGTTTTTCAATTCTCTACGGTTATTATAAAAAATTTTCCATCTTCATGTAAGCTATCTCTATGGTAAGGATTCCTTTTGTTACTTAATTAATTTTTCTCATTGTATATAGGACTATGTAATTTCTTATTAGGCTGATGATGGACATTATGTATGCTCCCTTGATGTGATTATTCACAATGAGCATTTGGTTGAGCATTTTTCTCAAAAATATGTAATTTCTGATTTTAAGCCTAGCAGCACCTCGATTTCCTAGAAGTGGTTTGAATTCCACGTAGGTCTCGCCACCATAACCCCGCACAAGTTTCGACTTCTGGGGTGTTGATTCCCATCGAAGTAGCGATATACAATTTTTATAAAATTATATAAAACACTAAAAATTAACAATAAAACGAATATGTATTGAGAAGGTACAATATTTTCTGATCGATTTTCCTCGAAAATGATACATCTCTGATTGATTCGGAACAAGAGCAAATCTTGGAATGGTTTATTTTCACTGCATTGGGCATGGAAAGCTCGATGGAAAGTTTATTTTTTGTACCGAATTGCATTATTATATCACATGGCGTTTCGGAAATATTCAAGAAATATCATATTTAGGACCCCCCTTCCAGGGGGCTGTAGCTCCCTCATATAAGAGACATTTATGTTCATCTGAACTTTTCTTCCTATTTTTGGTCGTAGAAGCCGGTGATGAAGTTCGACAGGCTAATTTCGAGATGTGGGTATATGTGTTTTTTCTATAGTGAGCTTTTAGTGCTGAATATGAATGATATATCATAATTAACATCGGATTTGAAAAGGTTTGAATATTTCCAATATGTTCAATAGTCCCAAGACACTCTCGGGAATTTCCTATATTTCCATTTCCATGGCAATATTTCCAATGGAAATATTTCCCCTCAAATCACCAATGATATATTATAGTGATGATATAAATATTTCCGAAATAAGGCGATTCTCATCAAGAACAGGATCTTTATTAAACCAGACCCCTCCTCTATTCTATAGGTATATAACTCAACTATTATAGTCTTGCGATTTTCACCAAATTCTGATCGGTATCAATAATCATCAATATGATCAGTATTTCAGAGATGAACATCCTTTCGGACATTTGAACCTTTCAATGGAAATGAAAAGAGGTTGATATTTTATGAAATTATTAGGATTTTTTGCAGGTAAACTAACTTCATAGTATTGCTCCTCATGTTTTCTGCCTCGAAAAATACTGAGTTTGAATCAACTGCAAATTCTGAAACGTTCAATGATGATTTGAGACAAAAAACCAGGATATACTTTCATTTTTGTATACTCTCTGTTTCCGAGTAAATAATTATTCACGCGCGTTCAAAAACCAAAAACAGTCTGTATATGTTTAGATCTGCCTGTTCCTTTGAAACCATTTATAGAAATTATATGAAAATATTCATATGAAGGTTTGAAACCATTTTGATTTCAATAAAAATACACGGCACTGTCCAAAATGATGATTGTCTTAGAAAAATTGATCATATTGTTGGTTATTCAGTAATTTCAGTATAGTTATTCATACCGGTCCAAATTTGGTAAAAATCGTAAGACTAATAGCTGATATATAAACATACATAGTATGGTAAAAGGATAGGATTTTGATTCAAAGACATATGAGTTCTTAGAAAATTACTTATGTGTGCTTCTTTACATTTCTCGGGATGGAGTTGTATGGAATTGGCATACCTAAGTATTCCTTTCATGTCTATAAACTATCGACTAGCTCTACTGCGTAATGATTCAAGTAGAACTGTTTCAATTTCGACATCATATTTTGTACAAAAAACCCTCAGATACAAATTTTGAATATATCATAATTACAAAATTCATCTGCCATATTGAATCCGCCATCTTGAATTTCTTTATTTTGACTAAGGAATCATAATTTCCGATGCCGAAAATCCCCTGATATAACGTTTGAATAGAATCGGATCATAATTAATACAAAACTCGTGTGTCACATTGGATCCGCCATCATAAATTTCCGAATTTTGATGGTAAAATCATGATTTCTGATCCAGAAAACCTCAGATATACAATATTTTTGAATTGAATCTTAATTACAAAACTCGTCAGCCATATTGGTTCCACCATCTTGAATTTTCAAATTTTGATGACACAATCATAATCTCCGACCTCGAAAACCCCCAGATACCAATTATGAATACAGTCGGACCATAATTACAAAACTCGTCTGCCATATTGGCTCCGCCATCTTGTATTCTCAAATTCTGACAGAAAAATCATAATCTCCGTCGATCCCCGAAAACCCCCAGATACCTATACCAGTTTTGAATAGAATCTGATCATAATTATTACAAAATACACTAGTGTATAATCAAGGATGGAATAAGATACTCTTCGGATTTTTTGATGTTCATTCGCGTTCAGTCGTGACTTCGGCGACAGGTCGGAACGGGTTCGGACGGACGGATCGGGACGGAAATTCAATGTTTTTTGGTTTTTCCTCACCCAACAAAGTGCTGAACGCGCCTAAAGTTTTCACTTGAAAAATTACAATAATGTCATCAAGAATGTATTCCCCCAGAAATACATCGGAAGGCAATTTTGGACCACCGTGTATATTATAAATATCATTATCATTCCATACCAATTCCATATATTCCATTCATATACAAACAAATAAGTATATGAGCCACACTAGTGTTTCTCCATTCACCCCTGTAGCGAACGTTATCACTGAAATATGAACGATTCATAATAATAATTAACCCTCGTAAAATCTCCTAAATACCCAATACCCGAAACAGAAGAGGCGGCCGACGCCGACGCTCATTAGCGCATCGCTTCGAACCTCAAAGTCAAAGCTTCCGCCTAGCCGCCTTGCGCCCGATAAAATGACCTTGAAGGCGATTGCCGATCTTTTCATCTATGCGTTCGCGCTCCGACAACACATCGTCTCACTATGTATAGAAATTGTTATTATATTTATTGTGTGTTTATGTGTCGCCTTTTTTAATTGCATCGAATCCTCACGAAATATACATGTATATTCTCATAGATGCTAATATAAAATTCAATTCTACTCCTTCACCCACCGGAGACAATAAAGATCAGATAATTATAATGTCGCGCAATATCAGTATATACCATGCAATTTGCAAAAAAATATCGCAAGTCTAAGACCTATTACCAGCTATGGCAACAATGGTATGTATTTTACAGAGACAACGAAGGAATCTGCATATTTCGGAAGGGTTCTGCAAAATTTTTACCCTATGAAACACAAAAGTAGGGCAATTGTGGTTGCATACATCAAGTAACACCTGGAGCACTAGCGACATCTGACAGATCAGAAACGCGAAATTTGTCGCTTTACATGTACCTTAAAACGAAGGATTAAAAGAAGAGGTATATGCCCTACCATTTAAAAAATTGTACCTACATTCAGGAAATATTAAGTGTTCGAGATAACTGCAAAAATGATTTCCAACATGAATATATACAGCACACATGACATATGAGCATATTAGTTTGAATACCTAAATAAAATTTACCACCATTTCTCAACCATAAGGCTTAGTCTGAAATCAAAATTCATTTATTGATAGGTACTGCCTAAGAACAGTCCCATTTGGTAAAAAGGAATTGAACTCTCAGAAACATTTGATCACTGCCTCACAAAGATTGTGCTGGAAGTTGAAAAATCAAAAACTCGAAAATTATCATCATCATTTGGATATAATATGCAGAGTTGAATGAGAAATTACATGTGGAAATCACGTATGATACGCCAATGTCCTCAATATAATCTAAAAAGCAACAAATGTCAGAAATCTAGTGTTTATCCCCAGAGATGAATAAAGATGGAACTATATAACTGTTTCACAAACACTTTAGAGTGAGAGGGGACGAGGATCTGTCCGTACCCTGTTAAAATGCCAAATACGTCAATTTACATCAAGGGACCCTAGTCTTGAAATGAAATTGAACATTCATTTCTAAAATCCTATGGAATGTTTAAATATTCTACAATCGTGAACGATATGACTTTCATTGTATCTTTTTCTCACAAAAAATTATCATTTCCGATCATCGAATATGCCACCTCCACAGGAATAGACTCGGTGACAAGGTCCCTCCTCACCGCCTGCCCTCTCATCGACCCTCCCAACGTCTACGGCAACACGCCCCTCCACATCGCCTGCCTCAACGGCCACCTCTCGGTCTGTCACGCCCTGGTGTCCGCCGGCGCCCATCTCGAGGCGTCGAATTTTCGCGGGCAGACGCCGCTGCACGTTGCGGCAGCCGGCGCCCACGGCGTCGAATGTTTGGCTTTTTTGTTGAGAAGGAAAGTGGATGTTAACGTACAAAGTGAGGATGGGAGGACCCCGCTGCATATGACGGCGATACACGGGAGGTTTACTAGGAGCAAGACCTTGGTTGATAATGGTAAGTTGTTTCTTTTTGTATCGACATCTATTTGTCTCTGCGTTTTTGTCTATTTTTTGCTTCTTTATCTTCCTCTTTCTTAGTCTCCTAGTCTCCTTGTCTCCTCATTTATAGTATCTCTTAGTCTCCTTATCTCTTCATTTTTTGCCTCTACCCTGTCTCTTAGCCACCCAATCTCCTTGTTTTTTTTGTATCTGCTTCTTTGTTTCTTTGCCTCCTTGTCTTTTCATCTCTCGATATCTTTCCTTCCTCTTAGTATCCTAGTCTCCTTGTCTCTTTGCTTCTTGGTCTCTTTGTGCCCTTGTCTCTAGTGTCTCTTTATGACCTTGTTTCTCAGTCTCCCAGTCGCTCTAGTGACTCTTTGTCTCCATATCTCTTCATCTTTTTGTTCCTGTTCCTCAGTCTGTTGTCTTCTACAATCTTTTCTCTAGTGTCTCTTTTTTGTCCTATTTCTTTATCTTTTTGTCGCTTTACTGTCCCTTAGTCTCGCAGTCTTCTAGTTTCTTTGTCTCTTTGTATCTGACTATGGTGTCTCTTTGTCTTGGTGTCCACTGGCGCCCATCGAGGTGTGAAATGTTTTGCCATTCTTTTGAGAAGGAAAGTGGATGTTAACGTGCAAAATGAGGATGGGATGACGCTGTTGCATGTGACGGCGATACATGGGAGATTTATTAGAAGCAAGACCTTGATTGATAATGGTTAGTTGTTCCTTCTTGTATCTTCATCTTTTTGTTTCTGCGTTTTTGTATCTTTCCTGTCTCACAATCACCTTGCCTCCTTGTCTTCCTGTTTCTTAGTATCCTAGTTTCCTTGTCTGTAGTATCTCTTTGTGCTCTTATCTCTTCATCTTTTTGCCTCTACCATGTTTCAATCTCCATGGTTTTATGTCTCTCTGCTTATTTGTTTCTCTGTCTTCTTATCTCTTCATCCCTCAGTTTCCCTTCCTCTTAGTATCCTAGTCTCCTTGTCTCTTTGTTTTTTGGTATCTTTGTATCGTTGTCTTTTTGTATCCTTGTCTCTTTGTATCCTTGTCTCCTTGTGCCCTTGTCTCTAGTGTATCATAAATCTCTTCAAGAGCAAATAACTCAAAAATCGTTAGAGCTAGACAATTTGAAAAAGAGTACATTTTTTATTGAAAATTGAACGAGCTTTCATATTTTTTACTTATTTTAATCATCATCAAATGTACAAAGAAGATATGATGTAATTTACCGAAGTAAGAGAGTGTCACTAGCTCCCTCTATGATCAATCATAATATAAGTTGCAAATTCGAATTCTTCATATCAGAAAACCTTAAACTACAAGATTTTTTCATGTTCATGCTGTTAAAACAAAGTTATTGAGAAATTTCAAAATAAAATCTCCCCCTTGAATCTCCTAAACCAGCAACATTATTATCAGGCATGTTAGGCTGGATATCAATATTTTAGTGTTTACTATCTGTATGAATCACCATTCATGAGCAACTATTTCGAATTTGATCACATTACAATCCAATATGGCGGACTTCCGGTTTTTCTGAAATGCCAGCAACTTTATTTTTTCCAATGGAACACCCTGTATATTTTCACATATTCAAGTTCAACAGGTCAAAACAAATGCGACCTTTATGTCAAATGAAATTTTTTCGAAAAAATTTAAATTATTGGCGCTACAAGGAAGTTGATGAACTATTTATTGATTTTTGATGTATACAATTTGTTACTGCACCGAAATACAAAAATGATATGTAATTTGATGTATGTACTAGCTAGAGAGACATGTAGGTGGGCCCATAGGGGATTCATTTTGAAAAAACAAGAATTTTTGATCAAATTTTGATGTGACTGAATTGTTAAGTGACACAAGAAATAATTTTTCATAAAAAATTATGTTTCTCTGTTATGTGCGATTGCACTTGTTTTCACATGTTGAACTTGAATATTTAAAAATATACAGGGTGTTTCATTTGAAAAAACAAAGTTGCTGGAATTTCCGGACAAACCGGAAGTCCGCAATATGGAATTGTAATGTAATCAAATCTGAGCACCTTTCACAAAGTTTATCTACAGACTTATAACGGGTGACACATGATATCGGGCCACCCCTGTAACTTCGCATTCGAAAACTGATTTTCCTTTTTGGTAGTTATATAGGGTGTTTCAGAAATAAATGTACATACGATCCCTGCAGATAGAGGATACTTTGCTGGTTCTAAATCACCCTTCATTGATGTGTCTACCGTCTTTCATAACTGAGATACAGGACGTTATCTTGATTTTGGCTTCCACCATTGTATGAAAAGATTATACAAAGTGGTTCAGAAATCATGACCAGATGAAATTTTTTGTCAAAATCAAGATAACGTCCTGTATCTCAGTTGAAGAAGACGGTAGACACTTCAATGGGGGGTGTTTTTGATCCATCAAAGTGTCCTCTATCTACAGGTATCGTATGTACATTTGAATCTGAAGCACCCTGTATAACTACTAAATTTCAGGAAAATCAGTTTGTGAATGCAGAAGTTACAGGGGTGGCCCGATATCATGTGTCACCCGGTATCTGTTTGTAGATAAACTTTGTAAAAGGTGCTCGATATCTTTTTCTCAAACCGGACATCACATTTATTATTATTGTTGACAATAAAAAAAAAATCTTCAATTTTCAGGTGCTCTTATTGACTGTGCTGATAAAAATGGATGCACACCTTTACATATTGCTGCGCAATATGGACACGATCTACTAGCCAATACTTTTTTGAGTTATGGCGCGAATCCTACCAGAAAAGGGTAAGCTTTACAGGGTGATCCAGATTAAGACACATTGACACCATGTTGAATACAGGCTGACTGACCAATAAATAATAGTTTAATTACCTAAAAAACCACAATTTTATAGTTAGCCAATCTAAAGAGAAGAAGAAAACAAATAGTAGTTTAGAAATCTAAAGAAACAGTGCAGAATAAATGAATTAAAAGTAAAAAAAACACAAATAATAGCTTTTATTTAAACGCTCTAAAGAGAAGTAAATGCAATTTTTGTTGTTAATTTAACTATCAACTTATAACCTCACTATACACAATTTATATGATTAGGAAAGCTTGTTGTGATGATCAATATTTAATAGAATTGTAATTTTGAAAATTGAAACTCAGCAGATTTTACATAATCGAATAAGCACTAGTTTATTTACTCAAGTAAATCGCTAAGAAGTTTGAATTTTTAAAATTTCAATTTTGGATTTCGATTTTCGAGCTTTTATGATCATATAAATTGTGTATAATGAGGTTATAAGTTGATAGTTAAAATTTAAAAGGAACATTTTATTTTCTTCTTTCTAGAGCGTTTGAATAAAAGTTTTTTGATTTTTTTTTCAACTTCTAATTTATTATTTACTTTTTAGTTATCACTGGCTAGGTTTTTCAGTATAACGCCCATCTCGCCAAATCACACAATGGTTTTTGATTCACTTTCATATCTTCATTCCAGGAGAAAATACAAGTGTTTTAAGAAAGTATGTTTTTTTTCTATTTGAAGAATATACATGAACTTATTGATTGACAACTCGATAAAACATCTAAAAATTGATATCACTTATTTTCACCCCGTTTTTTTAGCACTCTCCAGCAAAGTGAAACCTCAATTACTAAAAACAAGCGATGGACAGACCTCCTAGATGTGGTCAATAACGAGTATGCAATCTTCAAGCTTGAATTATTACATCATTGATCAAATTTGTCAAGCAGTCTCGAGAAATTGCCACAAATTCTTCTTGGAGGGCGAATCGTACCTCTTGAAGAGTATCTAAGAATAAGCCTCTGGAGTTCATTCCTCAGACGCTCTATAAGTTCCTCATCATTGTTAATGAACATCTAAAAATACCATACTTCCTTAATACACTTGTATCTTCTCTTTAAAAAATGATATTGACGTGAATCAAGAACCATTGTGTTAAAAAGGGACGAAAAGGGATCACAGTTCAGTACAAAACATGATGAATCATATGAGAATGGTTCTGAACTATTGTTAATAAAAATTTAAAAAATCCATACTTCCTTAAAATACTTGTATCTTCTCTTAAAAAGAAGACGAAGGAACTAATTTTAACTAGAGTCACTGGATGGTATTAGTTAGAGTTCGGACACAGAAATGACAATTGTTAGTGTTTTTTAATGTTTAGATTTATTGAGTTGCACACCTTGCATTGTGACAATAGCATCATAGTCGTTCCGCGCTTTTTGATTCAAAATTGTTTGACAATCAATTTTATGAACATCAGCATTGAAATATAATTTCATAAACTATTGAGAAAAAAAGCATAAATGAAAATGTTCTGCTGTGTAATGAATTGCGGGAATTCTGAAGGAAATGGCGATTTCATTTCTTGAATTTTCCAATGGAATTATCAACCATTCCCTTATAGAAGGAATGTATGAAACGGTTTGGATGGAAAATTGATTTGAAGAAAAGCAAAATTTGTGAGGTGAGTACATTAAAATTCACTTCTTATAACAGCAGATTGGAAAGAAACATAATAAATTGCAAGGTGATAATTGAATGGCGTTCTCAATACCGACCAAATGCAAAATTCATCAGAAAAAAGTGAATGCAGCAGAAGGTGGGAAAGCAAAATAATCTTCATGTTTCTTTATCCACATGTGCCTATTTTGTCATATTAAAATGTTGTTACATGAACTCTTTTCATTTTCATAACTATTATTCTGCGAAAAGTGTTTCGCGATATAAATTGAAATGGGTGTTTATACTCTATTTCTATTTTCCATCTACGACAATGATTGATTTGACAGAAATCTAACCTCTAAAAGTGTATCAGACAATCAGGCGCTACTAGGAAAATTGAAAAGACAAAGAGCAGAATATATGTCTTTTATTCTTGTATTCACTCAAACCATTGTATTATAGAAAATAAAAAAGGACAGAAGTTCAGCTGTGTCCGAACTCTTATCTAAGTAATACCAACTAGTGACTAAGTTTAACTACCAATCTTTACCACAGAGCGTTAAGAAGTTGAGGTTGAAAAAAAGTTTTTCACTGTATAATGATCATGACATCAGCTTTTTTAAGAATTAAAATTCAGGCTAACGCTCCGAAACATGAATCTTCGATTTAGTAGAAATTTCACCAGAATCGGTCTAGAATGGGCCTCTCAGTGAACAATTTTATTTCATTATTCCGAAGTACTATCCATATCTAGTTCACTGTCGTACATCGTTTTTTACCCAGAGCTCTGTACATTTTTCAAATAATGCTTGAAATTCACGATATTTCGTAAAATGAAAAACGCGGGAAAACGCGTGACGTAATAATCCATAAAATTCTCCTTGTCTGTTAGACAGGTGCAAGAATATTTCTGATTGTCATTTCATTCAGAATATGAAGAGAGTCGCCTCCTCAGAAGGTGCTCGCCCTAGACTCTAGTGCATTTTCTGGACTGAATACGTACTGCAGATAGCAGAGAACACAACACACAACTGAAGAATCAGATAATAAAAGGATTATCTTCGAATATTCGCATCTTGAATAGATGAAACAAGGATTTTCTCTTCTTGTATTTCTGGGAACTCTAGGCATCACGCTGTTGCCACTGCGACGAAATGATTTGGGTTTGAATAAAATCTCGATCATTAGGATGACTAGGATATTTTTCTTGGTACTAAAGCATCTTGCAAGTACATAAGTATTCAATAAGTGAATATTAGGGACCAGATCGAACTATTATCTTCTGTGAATGTGAACACTGTTCTCATTGTTCATATTGCATCTCAAAAGGTAATTACTAGTTACAAATCTGGCAGCATCAAAATATGTGATCCTACTTTTTATGCGAAATCCAGAATTCAGATAACGATAACTTTCGGCTCGGCTCATGACGTCATCGAAGCTGGCTTTTTCGGGGGTGCCGAATTTCATTATTGAAAAAAATATATTTACGATGATTTCAAATAACGAATGATGGCATCAAATACAATTTATACACGGAATGATCAATAAAATAGGTTTGTGGCGTGAATTCGACTAGTGTGTACAACCCCATTGAAAATTTTACAGGACGATCAAGTTGGCTGGCCGTTTTTTATGCTGGTGAGTGTATTTCTATATACGGTGAAATTTTTCAGATACGAGGGTAGGACACCCCTTCACATGTGCTGCCTTTCCGGTTATGTGGAATGTGCCAGGAAATTCGTTCAAGCCGGTGTCGATTTGAACGAAGTAGACGATAATGGCAAAACGCCGACACATTGTGCTGCGTACAAAGGGTGAGATCTTTTTCCACTTACATTTTAATTCAGATTGACTGCTTCATCGAATTATGAAAAATAGTATGGGTCATGAAAAAAAAATGTTTTGACTCGCCCTGTATTTTGTTGATATAGAGAAAATGGAGCTCAGATCCAATAAATTATTAATCCAAAATGATTTTTGAGTAACGAAAATATGTTAAGAATTATGAAAATAAGGAGGGGTGACAACAAGTGGGACATATGGTACAAAATTTCAGTCCACAGTCACCACAATGTATCTCGGAAACGAAGCAATTTTGGACTGAGGAAAGTTGCTTCAAATCAGCTTTCAGGGACACCCTGTTAGAGTAAGTAAATTGCTCAAAGAAACAAGTGAACGACTCAGATTTTTGACGTTTTTCAATATGCGTCCTTTCTGTTTGAGATTCATTGTTTAAAACTCATCAGTCTTCCAGTTATGATATTTACCAAGTGGTCAAAAATGGTGTTACATGTTACATAATCGAAAAAGTTTAGGAGCTCCCGTATTTCCCAGGAATTTGTTCATCCTTCTGCAAATCATATTTTTAAAATTTTCAAGTCAATTTCTCGAAATGGTTCTGGAAATTTTTTATTTATGGGATTTTACTTCGCTAGTCCCTATCGTCACACAAAATGACGCGTTTCCTAATTGGTTACGTATCCACGGTGTCCCGAAATTACATACATCTATCTATTACCTCTCGACTTTCGCAGTTCTTATGAATCTCTCGACTTGCTAGTCAGCAACGGGACGAAATTCAAAACCACGGACAACCTTCAACGTCTTAGCACCTACGCCTTCTCTCAAGGTCAATACCAATGTCTTCACTTTGGTGGACTGATAATGAATTATTGGCATGCAATTGCTCCGCTGTGTCGTTAGGGACCTAAATTGATTTTTGCAACACTTCTCCCGTTTTTTTTTGTGAATAATGAGTCTCTGCGTTGTTCAAAGTTGTTGAATTACAGAGCTCATTCCAAACGTACCGTCATGGCCGCCAGATTTTATGCTGTTTCGTTATTGATCAGATTATCTTCTATTTCCACTCATGAAGCAAGGTTGTCAAGTCACCAATTATAATCAAATCATCAAACAGATACTAGAGTCCTGTCGTTGAATAAAACACGAGATAAAACATAATAGAAGGAAGTCATGATATTTTAGTTTCTTTCTCGAGCAGCCATCAGCATGTGCAAATATTTCTTATACTCTACAACAAAATATCATGTAATTGTTGAAGACTTGCCAACAATGTGCTGAAGGCTGAAAACTGACAAGACATTCCTACGCCGTGTTGTCACGTTCACCGGTTCAGAGATGTCCTCTTGTGTGAATTACAAGAAATTTTAGCAACAGTCAAGTCTCGAAAATGTATCAGGTTGTCTTTCAAGGAAGGTTCGAACGAAGGTTCTTCCACCATCGAATCCATGTCGAAAAATGTGGACAGGATGATGAAGAAAAAAATGGCTTACGTTAATGTTCCATTGAAACATTGTACGAGAATTCATAATCTTGGCCGTTTTATCGATTGTCATATATTTATATTGTTTGATAATCTGATATTTTTCATTTTTGAATATATTGATCTTAATTAATATAATATACAAATGCTATAAGCAATAATCCACAACACATAAAGAAACATTTTGAGACAATTGATTTTTTATTGATAATTAGGAATATTACCAATACATTGAGAATTTATGAATTATTGAATAACTGATATTTCTGAAGTTCTCAATCGTATTTCAACATATTGCAACTGTGCTATGGTCTGCCCCTACTTACGAAATCGTGGAGTCAGTTTTCACTCGCGGTAAATTTCTAGACGTTTGAAAACTACCGTGACCTTATTGATGATTTTAGCACCTTAAAATCGACCGAAAATCTAAAAAAATATGAAATTGAAAGGTATTTGAGTGATGATTCTACTCGCCTATTGGAAATTCTGTCAATACGATTGACAGCTATGGATGCGCTCCTATACATTTGCGAGAATTTGATTGATTTGATGGAATTTGAAAAATTGAATGAAAATTCAAGAAAATAAAATTAATAACTCATGAAATTCAAATTTTCAGTATACTACGTTCTCGAAATTGGCTAAAGAGAAGGAATTATTACTCAATTGGTATAATAGGCAAATAACTCCATCTATCTAAATAAAGCTTTATTCTCTCTGGTATCGTTATTTTCTGCCATTTCGGAAAAGGTCTTGCGGAGCCATTGCTATCAAATCTTACTGAAGCCCCCCTCTGGCACCTCACAAAATGACGTTAAATATGTCACAATGCGCGAGGGTTAATTTATTAATGCGCATACACACATTTATATCCGATTCAATTTTCTGGCAATGATTCCGCCGAATTATCTCCACCATTCGCAATTCCCTTCGTTTATCCGTGTTCGACGTTTAGGATTGTTGGCGTATACTTTTGTGTGATTTATGAATTGATGGCGATGTCTATCTAAATTACGCAACGCTAATTTCGTCGCACTCCAAAAATTTTGTCCCTGTTAAAATATGAATAACTTTTTTCTGCTTTGAACAATTTGAATTCGGATTACACTGTTCGCTAGCCCAGTCCTTCAGCTAAAATCTCGTACTTCTTCAAAACATGAGACTCTTTATATAAAATCGCTACAGGGTGTCACCTGAAACTGTGAAAAATTTCGGAATTTTCAAAAGGATCCCAAATGAACAAAAACTTTTTTTTTCAACTTCGATAGCAGAGGCATGAATATGATCTCATTACCTAGGAACATTTTTCAAATTGTCTTCTTATCTCTTTTATTCACAGAGTGATCACAATGAATTAATTTTGTGGTTTTCCTCGTCAACCGATTTTTAAAATCTCAGGCTCATTTCGAAGCTTAAACTTCAGATGCAGAGATATGAAGATCAGAATTGACTCAAGGTGAACATTATACAGTGTGCCTCACTTCTAATGGAAGCACCCCTGTATGTTTCGTAATTGTTGAGTTAGGATCCTGAAACTCACAGGAGTCATTTCCAGTGATAAACACTGCTCGCCAACAGTCATGGAGCCATCCTAATTTCCGGAAAATGTCAGGAGGTTGAAAATCACTTCGGATTCGAAATCAGGATGTCCAATTCACTGACTATACATATTTTTCCTAGAAAATTTTCAGTTCAGAAAAATTTAATTTTGTCTCACTTCTCATGGAAGCACCCCCGTAACTCACGTAATTATTGAAGTAGGGTTCTGAAATTTGCAGGTGGAAGTGAAAGGGACGTCCTGATTTTGAATCCGAAGTGATTTTCAACCTATCTTGTCTTCTTATATAATTTTTGTGGGTGGTTCCATGGATGTTGGCGAGCAGTGTATATCACTGGAGACGACTCCACTTGGTCATAGTGTGTATTTACAGTATACCTACCGCTCTCGCAAATTTCAGAATCCTAACTCAACAACTACGGAAGATACAGGGTTGCTTCCATTAGAAGTGAGACACTGTATAATGTTCATCTTGAGTCAATTCTGATCTTCATATCTCTTCATCATCATCATCATCATGAAAATACTTTATTGTCTGAAGATAGATACATCTTATTGACAAAGTCTGGAATCCTAAATTTAAATTTAAAAGTTGATAGTTCCAATATACACACAAATGTTGAAAACAGTTTTTTGGACAATACACAAGATAGTCAATCAATAATACAAATAAAAATAAAAAAAATTTGTCGACACATCATTAAAAAAAAATATATATATATATATATATATATATACATTGCACAGTGTGTAATGGGCGTAAAATGTAAATTTAGTATAAATATTGGTAAGGTCAGGTAAAATACATTAACAGCTAATGATTTAAACTAAAATGGAAAGTCCAAAAAGTTGTATCCTACTTGATCAGATTAATAAAAACTCAGCTAAATTGATCTTCGTAAAATTCCTCTGTAGTATAATAGGCCCTCACAACCAAGAACTCTTTCACTTCTTTTCTGAATCTGGATACACTCTGTATTTCTTTTAAATTGCTGGGTAGGTGATTGAACAATTTTCTGCTCTTGTATATAAGAGAATTTTGAGTAAGAGCTGACGTAGGGATGGGGAGTGCAATATGGTGTCTTAAACGTGTATTATATACTGACGAGTTGTTTATATCATTTCTGTATTTCTTGTGAATTAGACATACTGTCTCTAAAATAAAAAGACCTGCCAGTGTTAAAATCCTTTGCTCTAAAAACAATGGTCTACATGAATCGCGGCATTTGGCTTTACATAAATATCTAATGGCTCTTTTTTGAAGGGTAAAGACCATTTCAAACAGTTGCTGTGAACATATACCCCAAAAGCAAATGCCATAGCGTAGATGTGACTCTACTAATGAAAAATAAACCTGCCTAGCATCAGCAATATCCAATTCGTGAGAAACACTACGTACAGCAAAGCAGCCCGATGCTAAACTTTTACACAACTTGTTAATGTTGCTTTCGAATCTTAATTTTTCATCAATAAATAATCCCAAGAACTTATTTTCTGCGGCATTGCTAATTATTCCATCATCTAATGAAACCTCCCTGATGTCACATCTGAATGATACGATGTTCGTTTTGTTGACATTGAATGATAGGAGATTTGCATCACACCACTCTTTCACCCTTATTACATCCACACTGATGTGATCGAATAGATCGGCTATTGATTTATCGTGCCATAGGATTGTGGTGTCATCTGCAAACATTGTGAATTTACCCTGGATGTCCAACTGATTCAAATCGTTGACATACAACAAGAATAAAAGAGGTCCCAGAACCGAGCCCTGTGGGACACCAGAGTTGACAACACATTCATTGGATTCAATTCCATTAAGTAAGACATTTTGGCGACGTTCAGTTAAGTAAGATCTGAACCATGACAATGCATTGCCTCTGAATCCATATATTTCAAGTTTTTTCAGCAGTATTCTATGATTTACGCAGTCAAACGCCTTGGATAAGTCACAAAAAACTGCCACACCTACCTCTCCATCATTCAGATTTAGGTAAAGATTTTCTAGAAAGGAAAAAATAGCATCATTTGTACTTTTTGAGGCTTGGAAGCCAAACTGATTGGAACTCAGTATGTTAAACTTCCTCATCTGAAGTTCAAGCTTAAAAATGAGCCGGAGATTTCAAAAATCGGTTGACGAGGAAAAAAGTTATGACTGCAAAACCAAAAAGTTAATTTTTTGAGATCACTCTGTAAATAAAAGAGATAAGGAGACAATGCGAGAACTGTTCCAAGATAATGAGATCATCTACCTGCCTCTACTGTTAATGTTGGAAAAAAAGTTCTTCTAAATTTGGGATACTTTTGTTTCCGAAATTTTGCACAGTTTCAGGTAACACCTTGTAGCAATCTTATGTGAAGAACCCTATGTTTTTGAGAATTACGAGATTATAGCTGAAGGACTGGGCTAGCGAACAGTGTGATCCGATTTCAAATCGTTCAGAGCAGAAAAAAGTTATTCATATTTCAACAGAGGCAAAATTTTTGGTGCGACGAAATTAGTGTTGCGTAGTTTATTTTCATTTAGTCTGAGGGCACGCTTTTTCTGAACGATATTGGCCTTCTAGTTCATCAAGTTATGTGATGATCAACTTGATAAATAGTGGAAGAAATAGTTATTTGTTTAACTAGGCAGCAAAGTAGTAGATTGACTGCCGTGGCTGAATTCATAGCCGAGCGTAGCGAGGCTAGGAATCCAGCTAAGGCAGGCAATCTACTTTGCTGCCGAGTTGAACATATAATTTTTTCTTCGATTGTTCATAATGATATGGCAGAATATTGTATTTACGAATTAATACAATTCCCACAATCTCTTTATTCTTCCTGTATAGTGTTCAATTAAAATAAAATTTGATAGAAATCGCAGTTGTTGGTTTGACAATTCATGAAATTTCTGACAGTTGTGCGAAAAAATATCGATATATTTAAATTATTATATAATGGACAGTGATAGCGACCTGGAAGTATACTTACACCTCCATTAATAAGGGAGGTGGCAAAAAATATAGAGTTGAATTTGTTGCCGGAGAAGTCTCGGATGAAATATGAAGGAAATTATAAACGATTTATGGATTTTTAATTTTGCTGATACATATCAATCAGCAAAGTACCCACTTTGCTGCCTAGGCAGCAAAGTACCCACTTTGCTGCCTAGGCAGGAAAAGTAATACTTTGCTGATTGATATGTGTCAGCAAAATTAATATTTGCTGCCAATCGGAGGAAAACATTATTTTCCCTCGACTTCCACAGTTCTTATGAATGTCTCGACTTGCTAGTCAGCAACGGGGCGAATTTCAAAACTACGGACAACCTTCAACGTCTTCCCATCCACTATGCCGCCTCTCAAGGTCACTACCAATGTGTCTTCACTCTGGTGGGAATTGGAAGTCCTGTCAATGCGATTGACAGCGACGGATGCGCTCCTATTCATTTGGCTAGCGCTTTCGATCTGGAAGGAAAGTGTGTGGAGTACCTGTTGAATCATAAGGCTGATACTTATTTGAAGGACAACAGAGGTGAGTGGGATGGTTGAAATACACTTTGTTACAATTTGGATTTTGGTCCACCACACCCCTGGGGCCGTATTCTCGACAAGTGAGCTTTTTGACGTATGCGCATCAAAACGAATGGTTCATGTGCGAGTACTTTTTAGAAGTGGTATTCTTGAAGACCATTCGATTCGCAAACCGTATACCCTTGAAAACTGGTGATTCACGTTCTGTGAATATGTGCAAAATTTCGCGCGAAGATTCAATTTTTTTGATATTGTTCACAATGCAAATGCTGTGTTGAATGAATCAGCAATATAAAGCGATAATAATAAATACTCTTGTATAATAATCAGTATTTCCAGCTTCATGTAACCTCTTCAGTCGTCAAGTCCTCAAGATGACCCCACTTGGTCATAGAGTGCATTTTTGGTATATCTCTCGCTCCAGCAAATTTCAGGATCCTCACCCAACGATTACGTAAGATACAGGGGTGGTTACATTAGAAGTGGGTCACACTGTATATTCTAAGGATGTTCATAACAATGTACTTTTGGAGGATGAGGATTGGAGTGCAGAGTCAATACAGCTTATTACCCCTGGGAAATCATATCTTATGTAGAATCTGTAAATTCAATTACTTTGAATCTTACCCTGTTCTTAGCCGATTCACTTGGTCAATATTGGCAGGAAATTTGACGAACCTTTGGAAAAATTTGTCTTGGTTCCAGTACCTCAATGATTTTGTCTTGAAATATAAGGCTAATAAAACCGTAGAGAATCTAACACAGTAAACCTAATAATGTGTATTACCTCTGTGGTAGTTGGGTACCAACTTTTGTGGAGATATCCAAATCTTGAGCGTGATGTGCAGGACATGAAATGAAATCAGAGGTAATATTGAATGGTATTGAACCCATTCTTTGAAGAGACGAAAAATTTTGATAAATTGTTTGTAACTCAAATCATCAAAGTGATTTCCACGCTACTGTATCTTCGCCTATCTATTTGTTCCGCATCTTCTATTATGCCAATCAACATTAACTGTGCCATTTTCTCTTCCATTATGTTTTGATGTTTTTTCTATTAATTAAGATGATATGAAACTCAAAAAAGATTCATTGAAGTCCAAAATGGTTCTCCAATTTAAATAAACAATAATAATATTCAATGACACACGTTACAAGTAAACAAAACGAACGAAAAGATACAAAACGAGTGAAATAAAGCGCTCGCTGTAAACGCTTGCTTTGAAAACGTACACGTCTCAAATTTCACTGGTCAGGAATACCAAAACGTACAGGGCTAGTTTTAATAATGTGATCCCCCCTTTATCTTTTTTGTTTTCCACTCATTCAAAACAATTTTGAAATACAGATTTTACTCATATTGACAATGATGCAATATCTCTTCAGATATACAGGGTATACAGAAAAATATATTTTTTTTCAAATGGAATGCGCCATATATTTTGATAGATTTGAATTCCTCAACTCATCCTGATTTCAAATATATGATATGAGGGATTCATATCTGTGAAAATATACAGCGCATTCTATTTAAAATATATAAATATTGTATACCCAATATATCTGAAGTGATACTGCAACACTGTCACTATGATTTGAACCTGTATGAAAAATAATTGAATAAAATCAGTTTCAAAATTCTTTGGATGTTTGGAAAACAAAACACACCTCGGTGTGTAATATACTATTCACCCTCATAATATACTACTCAAAATTATCTACTTTGTCGAGCGATAAACATTATCAATCACAATTTCTTAGCCTATTGCGCCCACAGAAACTCCAGCAAAATAAAAGAAAACAGATTAGGCTTTTTTTTATTTGATGATGGCAATCGACTCGGACTAGATACAATATCATATAAAGGATGTTTTTTATCAACGTTACAATTCTTGAATAATTACATTTTTCAATTCACCATATATAATGGTAGTCAGGAATAGATTATTTGGCAGCAGAGTGAGAAATTAAGGCCAAGAAATAATAGAGAAGAGTTGCGGCGAAGAATAATAACAGTTTGCAAAGATACCACCAGAAGAACTGAAGAGAGTTGAAAATAACGTGCCAAGGAGATATGAAAAGTGTATAGGGAAGGAAGGAGATTTGATCGATTAATTTCTTCGTATGATTTCATAATTTTGAATATACGTGAATGAACATCATCAGTTCATTGTACCAGTATATCACCTGACGAAGCTACTGTGTTAGCGAAACTTGTGTGTATAAGAATTTTGTGGAAATCTTATCGTTTGTGAAGTTTTTACATTTGCCATGGATTTCCATCAAGTAACGGCCGAGTCAATTCAAAAAAAGGATGTCTGATTGTTGGATATTTTGTGTCTAACAGTCATGTCTGCCAAAATATTTTTTTTACTCGTCGAAAAAATTCTTTTTTTTTTTAATAAAGAGCATCCTATGTCCTTTCTAATATACATCTAAGAATGTGTATACAAGATTTCATGATAATTGGTTGAGAAGTTGTGGCGTGAAAGCCGGACAAACAAACTTACATTCACATTTATAATATTAGTAGGGAAGTATGGATTCCTAGGTATTCGCGAAAAAGATGAACTAGAACTAGAAATATTGATGGAGACATTTCAAGAATGATAATTTTCAAATTGCAACCTTGTCAAAAATATTTTATTATTGACCCTGTGTATTATGAATGATGTATAGCAATTTTTTGTTATTCGAGCGATAACACAATATTATGATTAGGCTATCCGATGCATGTATTAGCTATCCACAGCTAGTGCACAGCCAACCATCAGGATCGAGAACACATCATGGCGGTTCCTCGAGGTTTCTATCTTTCTTCATTCTAATTAATTTATTTTATTCATTTTTAAAATAACATACATAACAGGGTACTATATCAATAATAATATACATTTTTTTTATAATATAAACATGATCAAAAAAGTTGAAAACTTGTCCATGATCACGTAATTTTTTTTTCTTCCGCTGACCAAATGAAATTCATTTCCTCATTGAGTACAATTAACATATTAAATACATTTTTATATTACCTAAAAATAACTATAAAAAACATGAAATGTTGCCTAAGTATTTCATCATATAATCAAATTTCCAAAATTTCTGAATTCTCAATCAACCACGATTAAATTTTTTTCTTGAATCCAAAAAAACTGATTTTTTTCTAGGAAAGAGGCAATTGTAATTTTTTTACCTATATGAATGGCATGTTGTTGCATTAAAGTTGAAGAGAATTTCTCAGTTGATATCCAACCATCAATTTTATTTTTGGTGTCATATTTATGTTTTACATGATTATAGTTTTGTAAATGTTTTCTTATGTATATTGTTGATGTTTTATAAAACAATTGATCAACAGTAAGAATGTTATAATATATGAAATTCTTGTGTCACGGTATTTGTTGCCAAACTCCTCCAAAACGGCATGACCGAATCTTATGAGAATATTTAGGAGGTCTGAGAATCGGTCATTAACTATTTTTTAAATTGGTTATTTAAGACTGCGGATCAAATATGGCGGACGAGTTTTGTAATTATGATCCGATTCTATTCAAAAATTTACATCAGGGTTTTCGGAGTCGGAGATCATGATTCTTTCTTCAAAATTGGGAAATTCCAGATGGCGGATCCAATATGGCGAACGAATTTTGTAATTATGATTTGATTCAATTCAAAATTTGTGTCTGGGTGTTTCTCGGGGTAGGAGACTATGGTTCCTTCAGCAAAATTGAATAATTCAAGATGATGGATCCAATATGGCGGACGAGTTTTGTAATTATGATCCGATTCTATTAAAAAATTTGTATCTGAGAATTTTCGGAGTCGGAGATCATGATTCTTCCTTCAAAATCGGAAAATTCAATATGGCGGATCCAATATGACGAACGAGTTTTGTAATTATGATACGATTTTATTCAAAATTTGTGTCTGGGTGTTTTTCGGGGTCGGAGATTATGATTCCTTCAGCAAAATTAAAAAAAAAAACGAGAGATGATGGATCCAATATGGCGGACGAGTTTGGTAATCATGATCCGATTCTATTCAAAATTTTCTACCTGGAGGTTTTGGGGGTTAGAGATCATGATTCCTTCGTCAAAATAAAAAAAATCAAGATGGCGGATCCAATATGGCCAACGAGTTTTGTAATTATGATCCGATTTTATTCAAAATTTGTGTCTGGGTGTTTTTCGGGGTCGGAGATTACGGTTCCTTCAGCAAAATAAAAAAATTCAAGATGATGGGTCCAATATGGCGGACAAGTTTGGTAATCATGATCCGATTTTATTCAAAATCAGTATCTGGGGGTTTTCGGTGTCGGAGATTATGATTCCTAAAGCGAAATTAAAAATTCAAGATGGCGGATTCAATATGGCGAACGAGTTTGGTAATCACGATCCGATTCTATTCAAAATTGGTATCTGGGCGTTTTTGGAGTCGGGGATTCTGATTCCTACGTCAAAATAAAAAAAATCAAGATGGCGGATCCAGTATAGCGGACGAATTTTGTAATTATAATCCGATTCTATTCAAAATTTGTATCTGGGGGTTTTCGGGGTCGGAGATCATGATTATTTCGTCATAATTGGGAAATTCAAGAAAGCGGATCCAATATGGCGAATAAGTTTTCTAATTATAATCCGATTCTATTCAAGATTGTTGTCTGGGGGTTTTCGGGGTCAAAGAGTATGATTTTTTCGTCAAAATTGGGAAATTGAAGATGGCGTAGCCGATATGGCGAACGAACTTTGTAATGAATAGTTGTTCGAAAAACTAACGAGACAAGCTTTTATAGATAGTCATACTAAGAAGAAGTAGACAATAAAATAATAAAAGTTTGTCGATAAATATTTACCTGTGAAGAAATAATGTATGTAGCAAAACAGCGTTTGACGGGTCAGCTAGTACTTTGATATATTCCTAGGAACACGAACGAACAAGCAGGAGACGTAGAACACATACACTTATGATTATGCCGGTCTAATGGCACGCGGTGACCGTGACGCGAGTTTTCTGGTTTACTACCCAGAAAGTGCCCAACGGGCCTATAAAAGTTATCACTTCAAAATTGAACACGTTCGCTCCTTGATCATGGATTTTTCCGTTTCGACAGGGTATACTCCTCTGCACTATGCGATAGCAGGCGGCAATGTCAATTGCGTATCGATGTTATTGAGCAACGAACAGAAGTCGAAGGTACAAAAAGGCCGTGAATCGGAAGAGATCAAGAGGATAATCAATCAGTGTTCTGTCGATGTCACGCCTTTACATCTAGCGGTAGGTAATATTTTATATATATGGTGTTTGATGATTAGTATCATTCCAACCAAGGCGAAATTACCCTTTTTTTCTGGATAATTCGCCAGAAGAGAGTGTCTTGGAGAAAGTTGGAATTTAATGGGAAGAGCTTTCAATAATAAATCATGAAAATCATCCATATCTCAAAGTGGTTCAAAGTAATTTCAAACTAAAAACAAGTAGCTCAAAGTCGGTCGACCATCATCAGTCATATTTCATCATTTACAGGTACGTTTTTGTCTGATGATGGCCCTTGCGCCGAAACAGGTTACATGTAATTTTTGATTGTTTTATATATAAAGTGTGGTAGACCGACTTTGAGCTACTTTTTTTTTTCATTTGAAACTTTCAATAATAATTTATTCTGAAATTTGACTTTGACGTTGTTTATGTTCATGAACATAACGATAAATTAGACCTCAATAGTTCACCACTGTTGAATTCGTTTTCTTAGTAGGTAATAATATGTATTTGCCATCAACCCTTTCAAGTTAATCCGGTACACCGTATTTTAATGTAGATATTGTGCCCAATTTCCGAAAATGGAGGTTTGTCGAACCTGTCCACAGGTAACTAATCCTTCAGTTTGGGAAAGTAGGATATATAAGCAAGTCAAGGTTAGTTTAGTTCATCGTACCAGTATATCACCTGACGAAGCTACTGTGTTAGCAAAACATGTCGTGTGTTTGAGAATTTTGTGGAAATCCCATCGTTTGTGAAGTTTTTACATTCGCCATGAATTTCCATCAAGTAACGGCCGAGTCAATTCAAAACTAATTTTGCAGTGTTGTTTAGATTTATAAACGTATTTTTGTAGATTCATTCAGCTAGGTAAATTTTTGATCGTCATGCTTTGTAACGAGCATTTTTTTCTCAAACAATAAAGCACTTTTCAACTGGACTTGATCTCCCTGTAGGCGAAACTCGGCAACATGGAGATCTTGAGGATGATAATGCGCCATTGCGACGACGTCGACGTCAGGACCAATCAGGGCCTGACGCCGCTGATATTGGCCGCCAGGGAGGGTCACGTGCAAGCCGTCCATTTCCTACTGCGCTTCGGCGCCAAAGTAGGCGTGGCCGACGCCGTAGATGCCATGACGCCGGTGCATTACAGCGCCAAAAACGGCCATTCGCAATGCTTGATTTTGTTGTTGCACAACAGCGAGGATCAGAATGTCGTCAATATGCTTGACAGGTAATTTTAAAAAATTTTAGACATTCTAGAAGGTTTTAAAACATCCTGCAACATTCTTGAATATTATTAGAAAATTCTTGATAATGTTCTGAACGTTCTAGGAAATTTTAGAACATCCTTGAAGATTTTGGAACGTTATTCATGATTTTTAGAACATTCTTGAAGATTTCCTTGAAAATTTTAGAACATTCTTGAATATTTTTAGAACATTGAAGATTTTCTGAAATTTCTTGAAAATTTTAGAACATTGTTGAAGATTTTAGATCTGAAGATTTTAGGACCTTCTTGAAGATTTTAAATCATTTTTGTTGAATGTTCTTGAACGTTCTGTGAAATTATTCGAAAATTTTAGAACATTATAAAGTAATATTCAACATATTGTAGATCATTCTCGAATATTCTGAAAGATTCTTCAATATACTAAAAAATTGTTCTAAAATTGTTCTATCCGTCATTCGGTTGCCCCCTTACGAGCAACCCTCAGAAGTCTTCGAGAGTTTTGTGCGAGCAAGGAATGATGGGGGCCTTATCTTTTAACGTGTGATCCCAAACACTTTCTTGGGCCATCAGAAAAATTTCTGCAGTCGCTGGGAATCGAACCCACGACCGGCAAGCGAATGCGAATTAGAATACCGACACTCTGTCCGCACGGCTACCTGACCTGGGGAACAATTTCGATGATTCACGAAGATTCCCGAGATTCTTGGATATTCTAAGACATTTTTGAACATTCTACATCATTTTGGCAGATTTTAAAACATTCTAAAATATTTTGAGCTGTTGGTCAACAATATGGCATATTGTCGACCATCATCTATAATTCTCGAACATTCTGGAAGATTGTTCTTCGTTCTGAGATATCCTGCAACATTCTAGACGATATTCCCGAACATTCTGAGATACTCCTCTTAACTCTAGATTACTTTGAGTGATTTCAGATCATTCTAGAACATAATAAGGTGATTTTCAACAATATGGAATATTTTCGAACATTCTTCATCATTCTCAAACAATCTAGGAGATTCTCAAGTATTCTAGAACTCTTCAGAGTATTAATCAACATTCTGGAATATTCTGGAAGATTAAACAATATTCTGAGACATCTTGGAGAACATTCTGGAAGATTCATGGAGATTATCAAGATTCTTGAACATTCTAGATTATTTTAGGTTATTTTAGAACATTTTGGGACATTACAAGGTACTATTCAACAATTTGGAATATTGTCGTACTTTCTAGGAGGTTTTTCAAGTATTCTGTAAGATTTTTGAACATTCTAGAACATTATGGAGCATTGTTCATAGTTCTTGGATGTTGAATGTTGTCAAACATACATTCTGGGAGATATCTGGAAATATTCTAGAAGATCTCGGAAGATTTTAGACCATTTCATGGCATTATTCGACATTCTGAGACATTCTTCAAAATTATATGATTATAGTATTATTTGACATTCTGAAATATTGTAGAACATTCTAGAAGTTTCTCAAATAATCTTCGAGATTTTAGAACATAACAGGGAATTATCCAATATTCTGGAATATTGTGGAACATTTTCGAACATTCTGGTAGATCCTTATACATTCTGAGAAACTTTACACCATTCTGGGACATTCTTGGACATTTTCGATCATGTCAAAACATTCTAATACATTCTCAATCATTTTCTAACTAACTTTTCAAAACTTTCGATTTTGTCGAATATTTTTGAGCATTCTGAATCATTCCTAACATTATAGAACATTTTCGAATATCCTAGAACATTCTAGATGATTTTTGAGACATACAACATTCTAGATTTGAGAACATTCGTGAATATTTTTTGACATGAAATATCCCAAATATTTTGGAAGATTTTTGGACATTCTTGATGACATTCTTTCAATTATTTTTCCACTAATTACAGACAACATCGAACTGCGTTAATGTTAGCAGTTTCTGGTAACCATATTGAGTGTGTTCAGACACTGTTGAAGTGCGGTGCAGATCCTAATATCGTCGATACTGATGAACATTCGTGTTTGTTTAGGGCGGTAAGATTTTTTCAATAGCTTTATAGCACTGACTAGAGTCACTGGATGGTATTAGTAAGATAAGAGTTCGGACACAGAAATGATAACTGCTAGTGTTTGTGAATGTTTCGATTTATTAAATTACACATCTTGCATTGTGACAAGAGCACCATAGTCGTTCCGCGCTTTTTCATTCGAAATTGATTGAATTTGAAAATACATTTTATGAACGTCAGAATTGAAATATGATTTCATAAACTATTGAGAAGGGAGCCTGAATGAAAATGTCATGTTGTGTATTGAGTTGTATACATAGGTATCAGAGGAAAAATATTTGATTGGTTAAAAAATTATCTGGAAAATAGAAAGCAGTATGTTGAAGTCAATAATATTTGTAGCTCCATAAGGGAGATCAAATGTGGTGTACCACAAGGTTCCGTTTTAGGTACAATTTTATTCTCAATTCACATCAATTCAATATCATTTTTGAAACTAAAAAGAGATCTAAAGTTATTTGCAGATGATACTACAATAATCTATCCCTCTAAAGAATTTAATGATATAGTTGATGATCTTGGCTACAAATTCATAAGCTGACTCTTAACTATGACAATTCTACGTATATGTATATTTCAAAAAGAAACACTGATATATCGATAACAACAATATTTTTCGACCAGAAAGCCATAAAATATTTTGATGTTAGAAAATCCTTGGGTTTTTATATTGATGAACAATTATCGTGGACTAAACATATAGATCGCCTGAGAAAAAAGCTGAATCCAATTATTGGCATTTTATACAAAATTCGAAATTTCATTCCTCTTAGATATTTGAAGAATATATATTTATATCTGATTTACTCAAGATTACAATATTTAATATCAATTTGGGTAAGCACAAGTATATCACATTTGAAACCATTAATGAAATTACAAAATAAATCAATTAAGTGCATTTACAATTTACATTACCTGGAACCATCTATTGATCTTTACAAATCAAAAAATCTGTTGAATTTATCATCTTCATAAAAAATGAAAATTTGTTATTCTATTCATTTTGTGAGAAAAAAAAATAAGAATATCCAACTTGAACTTTACTGAAGTAAACACAATTCATACTCATGAAACGAGACATTAATAGCAAACCCGTATAACTCCATTATTGGCAAACAATCAGTATTCTACAACGGAATCATTTTATATAATTCATTACCGTATGATTTGAAACATATTGATGGTGAAACAACATTCAAAGCCAATATGCATAAATATATACTCATGACACTTTAAACGGAGCAATTTATTCTCATTTGAATACTTGGAATGATTTTATTTTAATTGTTATTTTTTATTGACATAACTCGTTAATTAGTTTTTTTATTGTTATATATCATATGTTTATATATCCCTATTATAAACAAATATGTTTCTTGGGGTAATAAAGAACAACAACAACAATATTCAATGGATTTGTTATTGAAACATATTGGGGTATTATTCAATATCTACCTAATACTAGAGTCCCTGTATGTATTTGACACTTTTGCTGTAATAAGAGTACGGACACTATGACAAGCAGTGACAGAAGGCATAACCCTAAAAAAATTGAAATGACATGAACAATTTGGCGGGCACTGACAGTTCATGAACGTACATGACATTAAATTATTTGAAAATTCAGGTTTTCAAAAATTAAAATGTCTAATTGTGTAGTGGAGAATTGCAAAAATGGAAGCGAGTCCTTTCATTTATTCCATTTCCCCCATTCTAACCAACAAGTACATATACCCTTTGTTAAGTATATCGAGAAATACTTTCAACAAATTGATTTACAAACTATGACCCCTTTTCGCCAGTGAGATGAGACGCCACTTCTTTAAGAAAATAAAGACAGAGAAAGATATATGGATGTACCCTTCACCGCGGCAGTAGAGGATAGAAGATCCGAACTGCATGGAAAAGCATATCCATATCTTTGTTCAAAAGTCATTTTGAGAATTTGGGGTTATGCCTTTCGTCACTGCTTGTCATAGTGTCCGTACTCTTATTACAACAAAACTGACAAATATATACAGGGAATTATACATACAGGGACTCTACCTAATACCATCCAGTGACTCTATCCCATATACCTACTAAACATATACGGATAACAAGGATCTCCAAGTGAAGCCAAAAAATGAAATAAATGACAGTCTGCGAGTGAAACTGTATAACAGCGCATGCGTCATTTCAAAATAAGAAAAGACATCAGTTTGCAAAATTCCTTTCAGCAGGCGATGGCTCTGTAATGAACATATGAGTATTATTAAAACTTTCGTGAAATATTCGACATAACCTAAGATTCAATGTTTATATTTTGTTATCTGAATCTGAAACCTCAGACAAGAAATCATGACCGAGACTTCACTGGAATTCATATTTGCGAAGTTTTGATGAAGCAAACAGCTTAAATTGGCGGTTTTTGGAACGAGTTTGCTGAAGGTTTTTGTCTCGGAATACTTCCAATAATGGCCAACAAGTGCAAGACATTATAAACATAGAAATGTACAGCTTCCCAGCAGATGCAAAATTATACGAAATGTGGCAAAACATTAATTTCTTTCATTTTGAGAAAATATCTTTTCAGTGTTCTATGTAATGTGCTTTTCTTTCAAGTTTCAAGGGAATTCAAATACAATTGCAAAAATAGGTACATTTTCTGTGAGGCAGATTAAATACCTTCACAGAATTCACCAATTACAATGCATCAAAATGTAAAACCTGTGATCAATGGATATGAATGGGAAAGAGGAAGGTTACTTTGATACAAAAGTTGAATATGTCTCTAATCATTCTTCAGCTATATCAACCAAATCATCCTCAGTGAGAGGATCAAATGAATCTGATAATGACAAAGATGCTGGAAGGATAGAACTCGCTTACCAGAGTGCTGATGCAATTTCTAGCAGGACTGATCATTCTTGTGAAAGTGCCTATGATGTTTCCATAGAAAAGACAAGTGCAATTTTGGTAGCCAATCTAATGACTTTTTTTTCACTTTTTCTGTAATAATAAATTCAATGAGTACCCACTCAATTTTGCTTTATTTCAACATATAAAGCAGAATATGATATGATATGATCAACACTGTGAATAATTTAAAGCTTGTAATTCTATACAAGGAATAAGAATAAAATGATTATGAAATATCTCCATTATTCTCCATCTCAAAACCTTGCTCAAGTGTGATTTTGACAGTAATGGAATCTTTTCAAATGTTGTTCTTCCTGCTTCATTGTAGAAATATATGTAGGGCAGTTAATTTATCTTCATTATTCTCCACCTCAAAACCTTGCTCAAGTGTGATTTTGACAGTAATGGAATCTTTTCAAATGTTGTTCTTCCTGCTTCATTGTAGAAATATATGTAGGGCAGTTAATTTATCTCCATTATTCTCCATCTCAAAACCTTGCTCAAGTGTGATTTTGACAGTAATGGAATCTTTTCAAATGTTGTTCTTCCTGCTTCATTGTAGAAATATATGCAGGGCAGTTAATTTGTTATCTGGAAAACAAATATCAGTTACCTATTTATGGAAGTTATAAATAATATAAGACTTACAAAGAATTCAGAATTATTCTTTTTCAACAACAGCATGATTAATTTTGTAGGAAATGCAATAGTTTCTTCAATCTCTGCCTTCCTTTGATTGTAAATGCTAGTAAGTATAGTGTTGTAGGCTTTACTTCATACATCACATCTATGCCTGACTTTCTTCACCACTTGCTTGGGTGTGAGCTTCTCAACTGAATTCTTCCAGTTCTGCAGTTCTTTATGCCTACCTAAAAATGTGGTTAAAATTTCAGTAAGCAAAAAGATCAATCAAGGATAATTGACTTCATGAGGCTTCAGCATAGACAAACCAAAGTTTCTCTATGAGCTTAGAGTTTCAAAGCAGCAGAAGTTTGTACAATCATCAGCTCAAAGATCTCAAGTTTCTGTATACTTTTCACTTCAACAAATTAACATTATTTCTTGCTTTGTGTACCTGTTCGTCTTCCACCATCGGCCGATTTTCAAAAGCACTCAAATCGCTGAAATTTCGAAATAAAAATGATTGGAATCGAATGTGGAATGTGGCTCTCATTGTTTTCCCCATTCTACTGACAGCTTTGACATCAATATCAATGCTTTGACGTACTTTTCCTGCTATCGGAAGAATTTTCGCGAAGGAATATCAATTTCAGAGGCATCGGAAAGAAACTTCAACAACATAATAATATATAAATAAAATTCGTCCTCCATTTTGACTCGTGATTTTGAAAAATCCCGCGCATGCGCAAATAGATATTTTCACCCGCAGACTGTCATTTGGTTCCTCAAAACTGGCTTCACTTTTGACCATGGAAACATAGGATGTTATCCGTATATGTTTAGTAGGTATATGCTCTATCCCCGTCCAGGTCGTCAACGGCCAAGACAACGTCGTGCAACTGTTGCTGTCGAGCGCCGCGCAAGCGCAACGGACGGACGTGAACGGCAAGACGGTGCTCCATCTGGCGGCGGCGTGCGGGCACTTGGCGTGCGCGCGCACCGTCCTTGGCTACATGACGGCAGAAGAAGCCAGGGCCGAGGACAAGCAGCAATGCACAGCGTTGCACTGGGCTTGCTATCACGGTAAATGGCATTTTTTTGCACCTTCCAGCGGGCGCGCGTCGTAACATTTACGACAAACGCCCGTTGACTTGCACCACTTTTATCTATCAGTCGCGAGTAGGGCTGGGCGATATTGAGAGTTAGATATCGGTTTGTAATACATAAAATTGAAAAGTGTGTTGTATTCGTTGAAATAATTAAAGAAATATTATATATTCATATAAAATACCTTCAAACCCGTCGTTTTCGAAATGAAGTGTGTCGAAAATACGAGTCTGAATATCGTTTTTTGATGTTCGAAACGGTTCGAGATAAATGAAAAAAAAAATTCCCACAGACACTAAACTTTTCGTTACGATATTTCTGAACCGATTTAACTCGAAAACAGCGAATCGAATCAAAAACTCACAAGTGAGCATTTTCACGCATAGACCTTTGTTTTTTCTGATTTTGAGGTACAGATTGAGAAAGAAATGTACACTTGGTGTGATTTTTTTCTTCATCACCGCCAGATTCAGCCGCCACTGAATTACTTTATGAAATAATTTTTTTCTGCAACCGACACAAAAGTCGTCCATTTTGATACCAAAATTAGCTCTTAAATTGACGTTTCTATTACTGTCACAAAATGAGGTATGTTGCTAGGCAACATATTTAGTTCCTAGGAGCTAAAGTTGAATTTTAGTTCCTAGGAGCTAAAGTTGAACTTTAGCTCCTAGGAACTAAAAAGGATCTACTGGGCGTCATCAAGAATAATCAACATTGTGACGGTTGGTTATTTGGGTTGAGACGCATACCTGATTTGTTTCCAATTTCAGCAGATTTGGCATTTCATACCCAGATATAAATACACCTTATTATAGTTAAGAATTGAAGTTATAAACATCCCAGTTGAGTATTTTTGTTTCGATCAGGGAAGCCTTCAAGATTCAAATACTTGCTTGATCTGTATTTCATTCGTTATTCTCGGGATGGATAACTTGTTTTTGAATAATCACGGCAAGCAATAGTTTTTTTGTCTCAAACAACGATATTGTTTAGCTTCATTTGATTATCAAATCAAACACAGTGTAGTATGGAGAGGAATAAATAATCACTATTATCATTGTTGATATGCTCTCTAACCTAACATTTTCCACGTCTTGTTCCTATAGCTGGCACTGGCGCGGTATTTGCCATTCGAGCACCTGGTCCATACACAAATATGTCACTCTGTGGTTGTATTTATATTGAAACTACAATTCGAACATCCTAGAAAACCTAACCTGCTGTTAATGCACATGGATTATTTGTCAATATTTGTTGCATTGCATACATATGGCACGGCATTGGTGGTTACTTCACATGTTTATTTGAGTTAATTGTTTCGGTTGCAGAAAAAATAGCATGTTTTATTCGGATCAAAAGTGACTTTGTTCGACTCGCAAATTTTGCTTTCGCTCGGCTTCGCTAACACTCCGCCTCGCAAATGCAAAATTCGCTTGTCAAACAAAGTGTCACTTTTGATCCTAATAAAACAATCTACTATTATATCGTCTTATAGAGCGTGAAAAGTTTAGTATCTGTGAGAGATTTTGTTGATTTATGCAATATTCAGACTTGTATGTTCAACACCCTATATTTCGAGAAAGACGCGTTTAAAAGTGTATGTTTATACAGTCTGTCCTAGATGAGGTTGCACAGCATTGGGACCCCGAAAACTGTAGAAGATACGAAGTCGGTTGAATGGGGAAAAAGTTGCGCATTCGGAGGCTCATACCAACAGCCTTCGAAAAATTTCAATTTTTTTTTTAGTTTTTCAGTTATATCGAAAAAAGGGAATTTTTGGAATCTCTATTTTATTTTTTTTCTCCGTTATTATTAGAGATACAGGAAAACTGAAAATACTTTTTTATAGCAACTTTTGAGGATGTTTAACGTGGTGATACCGATTTTTCTATGCGACGTTTCGTATTCGTAGAACCATCATCAACTTTTGTTTTTTAAATACAGCCCTGATAATTCTTTCCGGTACATAATTCCAGAGGAGTTCGTGCGTTTTTATCCAGAAAAATGGATTGGTACTCATTCTACAGTCCCTTGGCCGGCGCGGTCGCCTGATTTGACACCGTTGGATTTTTTCTTTGGGGATATATCAAAATCTTTGTTAACGTAATAACTTTGATGATGAAGAAGAACTACGGGACAGTGTCATCGAAGCATTCAATAGTATAACCCCAGAAATGCTTAGTTATGTCTGAGAAGCAACTGTGATAAGAGTAATCTTTGTTTAGAAAATAATGGTTATCATTTTGAACATTTGTTTTGAATGTTTCTGTTGGTATTGTCAGAATTAAGTTGTTAGAGTAATTCGTGAAGTCTTATTAACAATTTGAATCGCTGCATTGAATAATTTAGTGAAATATTTTTAATTCACTTTCAAGTATTGAATAACTAATCCATCAATGTTTGACACTGAGTCATCAGAAATAAGTGGAACTGATGGCACTTTTCCTTTGGAATTTCGAAAAAACATTGACGATGGATAGAAATAGGTCGAAACACATTTAAAACACCTTGTACAATACATGGTTGAATTCAGAATAAAAAAAGCTTTCAGAATATTCAAAAACATTATGAGGACCGTATTTAAAAAACAAATGTTGATGATGGTTCTACGAATACGAGAAGTCGCATAAAAAAATCACCACGTTAAACGTCATCAAAAGTTGCAATGGAAAAGTATTTTCAGTTTCTTGTATACCTAATAATAACGGAGAAAAAAAATGAAATAGTCATTCCAAAAATTCACTTTTCTCGATATAACTGAAAAACTAAAAACAATTTTGAACATTTTCGAAGGCTGTTGGTATGAGCCTCTGAATGTGCAACTTTTTCCCCATTTAACCGACTTCGTATCTCCTACTGTTTCCGAAATACCCATGCTGTGCAACCTTATCTCGGACAGACTGTATAAACTTTTTTCATTATATCAACGAGGACAACACACTGTTGAATTTTTTGGAATTTCAAACCGGACCACCCTGTATATATGAAATATATGGATATATCGAATATTTGAATATTCGACTAATCGATATAGCGGATTTTTCAATATTCGAATAATCATTATATCAAATATTCCATTAAGAATTATGATCAAATGTTGCACAATTATTCAACTTATGCTTTTTGGCAGCCTAATTTTTTGTGTTACTAGTATCAGGATGAACTACTTCGCATACAATCCTGGCGTGCATATACGCTGTGTTAATTTTTCAAACATGCACTTTCACTCATCAAGTTCACTTCAACACGACATGTCGCAGCGACAATGGCTGCTTAACAAGATGTAATCCATATTTTACCCCCTTTTGGGAAACACATTTTAATTTGTTTGTAACGTATTTTACTTAAATGTCGTTAGTTTTAAACTGGACAAAAGATATTTTTATGGACGAATTTCCCTGTAAACCTGACTGATGACTTAACAGTCGAAAGCGCTCTGCTACGAATATTTTGAATAAATTTCTTGCACGAAATACAAATCTTCCCTTCTTTGGTATGCACTTTTATGGCGGTTACACATCTCATTCTATGGTAACATATAAACTTTCCAGGTTATGCGAATTGTGTCGAATACTTGTTGGAGAAGAAGATTTTCGAAGAAATGAAAGGAAATTCCTTCTCACCTGTACATTGTGCTACGTAAGTATCCCATGCTATCACTACATTTGAAACATCTGGAAGTGGATATCTTTTTTTATAAAACATTCTGTATTTGCAAATATGAGATGAGTAATCATAATTTAATATTTCATCTAGTATGCTTGAATCGTAGTAGTATCTGAAATGATGATGAATATTCAGCTCTTAAAATTATACAGGGTTTCTATAAATGATCGTAGCATCGTAGTGACCGTTGAAATAGTGCCGAACTCTGCTTATGTTGTCTACAGGTATTGAAATGATCGAATCTCCATAAGTCGAAAGCGACAAATTAATAAAATATTCCAACGGTACCTACGATGCTACGATCATCGATAGATTCCATGTTCATTGTGATTACACAGAAGGTAAATACATTTGGCTACATCAATTTTTATCACAATATGGAAAGGCATTTCAGTCGATCATTGTCATGTCTAAATTTTCGAATCCATTTGTCAATCACATTCTTGCTTATTCAGTTTCAAACAATCATTCCCTGACAAGTAACTCTTGAGCTGATGAGCTGAAAAGTATGCTGTGGAAACGATTGAATTCCATGTGATGAAATTCAAACAATACTTAACAGAAACTCGTTTGTCTATAGAACGGCAAAGCTATGAATTCATTTGCCAATGTAAGTCTTCCCAAGAACTTTATAACTTCCGAAAGTTGAAAAAAAAAATCCAACACCTATCTTCTCTCCCTATCCTTTCTTGGTATTCTCGATGTTCTTCGGACATTATAGGAATTTTCTCTCGGGCGCTCCAAGAGTTGAAAAAAACAAAGTTCCACAATATCCAAAAAAGTATAATACTGTAATTTAGTAGAATTAAATGCTCACTTTGCATCAAGTTATTTCGTTTTGGAATTATTCAATGAGGGACATGCTGAAACTTGAGAAATGTTTCCATCAGCAGGTGAGTGTATTAGTTCAACCTAGAGAGACTATTTAAAATAGAGTGGCGACAATGAACCTCATAAATGGCTGCCGTTTCCGGTTGCCGTCCATGATGTTATGTTTATTACAAATACAAATATCAACAAAAACAGCTCAAATCACAGGTCCTCCTACGAGGGTCAGGGCACAGTTCAGTCCACAAAGAACTAGTTATGTCTATTTACTAAAATTTGGTAGCCATATTGAATCTGGCAACAGCCGACTCGTGGCATCTGAATTTTGGTTACTCGGAAGACTAAAACGTCAATGTCATTCGTGGTTAAGTCAATGAATAGCTAAAAATCTGAAGGATATATCCCATGTAGTAATGAATTTGCGCCTTTAAGTGCCCACCTGATGTCAGGTTTAAATATTTGTTATTTTCATTTCATCATTTGAATAATCTGACATGATTTTTTTTCATCACCTGAACAAATAAGTTATGTCCCCCTTTTCTCAAGAAAAAAAAAATATCGACGCCCCTGCCTCAACCACAGCTCGTCATCCTCGATTAGATTTTCAGGTTCGGAAAAGTGCCTCGACCTGCTCGTCGCCAGCTACGGCGATGCGATAGTCGCTTTGCAGGACGGCCGCCAGAGGACGCCGCTGCACATCGCCGCCCTGCATGGCCACCGCGCATGCGCCGAGTACCTCGTGTCGCGAGGGGCGGCCGTGCACGAGCGCGACGACGAGGGACGCACCGCCCTGGTGGCCGCCGCCCAATACGGACAATCGCCAACCGTCGGTAGGTTTCGTAGATACGATTCGCGGGCGGTAAACTGCGCTTTTTCGCACTAGTGCGGTAATAGGAGCGTTTTCGTACTAGTGCGAAAAAGTGCTAATTACGGCACTAGTGTGGTAAAGTGCCCTTTCCATCACTTGCTATAAAACCTACCATTATTCACTCCTCTTCGAGGCGTAAAGTGTGCTTATCTACAACCATGGAGTCATTCATACATTGCTAACTCGATTTCCAACATTTAATGACAGACATTATTATGATGAATCGAGTAATGAGCGTAATAATGACAGTAGGATGGCGTAATAATCTGACATCCCATCCTCTTGTCAAATTCAACTAGGTAGGTATTCGTTCTACTAATTTTACTAAAGCACACCACTATACTACTGTTTGTGAAATACACGCAAATTGCGAATTCAAAAGACTCACCTTACATGGTTCTCATATTTTTAATCACCTTAATTCTACAAATACACGGAGAAATGATAATTCACTGTTTTCACACCCAGTAGTGACAGTGACTACCATCATGAGTAACCATAACCATAAAATAGGATTTGACAGTTGCAGATCGGCTCACACTTATGTGCGGGCTATTCGAATAGATTAGTACAGACCATTCAGAACCATAGAACTTCCTTGTTGATAACTAGCGTCTAGAGACAGGGTACTAAAATTAATCATCGCGGTAGGGGAACGCTACAGCGGAAGCAAGTTAATGAATAATCTGCAATAGTATGATTAATTTCACAACTGAAAAGTGAAATGGCATATAATACCTGGTAAGATTGACTGATATGTGATTGCACCACTTTTTTCCTGTTGATGAAAGTTAGATCCAACCTTGTTTATCATATTTCCACAATCAAAATTATTGAAATAAGTTATAAGGTAAAGTGAAATGGCATATAATACCTGGTAAGATTGACTGATATGTGATTGCACGACTTTTTTCCTGTTAATAAAAGTTAGATCCAACATTGTTTATCATATTTCCACAATCAAAATTATTGAAATAAGTTATAAGCTGTTCGTTGATTGAAATTTCTGTCAATAAGTTTTCGATGAAATTAATGAGTATTTCAAATAAGATTTAGTGATTTTGCAATATAATAACCTTCATTATTTCCAAAGATATATTTCTGAACTCTCAAAGTTGCTTTGATATTTGAATAGTTGTAGATAAAGTATAGTATTCTACTCGCACATAATGACAATTACACACTCAGATGATTACAGCACTCGCCTTCGGCTCGTACTGCAACTTAAATCTTCGTGGGTAATAGCCATCATTATGCGCTCGTTGAATAATATACTATTTTACTACCAAGGTAGTTCTCGTAATTTTATGAACCACCAGTCAATAACTCTGTTGTATTGAAAAGGAATATACTCAGATATATTTATGAACACAAAAAAGTGGATATATATACAGAGTGGGCCATTGAAAACGAAACAGCGGCTCTGTAGGTCGGCAAAACCAGATTATGAAAAAAATCTGAAACACGTCGACTACATTTTCGAGGGGGACATATCATTCTAAAATATTTTCAGCCCTGCGGCGTTGCCGCTTCTAACGAACAAAAACAACAACTTTGTTATTTCAAATGGAACACCTTGTATTTCATTGCATTTTTAGATTCTCCCTGAAGAGTTGATTCCATCAATGCATCACACTTGGCATCTAGCTGGAATGATTTCAGGGTTATAGTGACGATAGGTCCATATTTCGGTTTCACAGAACTAAAATGATCGAAATATATTGCTAGTAGTGAAAAAAATTATATATACACCTTGGTAGTAAAGAATATTATTACCACGGGACCTCATACCCCTCGGCTGAAGCCTCGGGATATAATCTTGGTCCCTGGGTGATAATGATATTCTTTACTACCTTGGTGTATAAATAACTATTATATACTCCTATTAAATTGAATATCAATCCAACTTCTTTTGAGCAATTAATAGTATTTGTAAACAAGCAACGTGAATCATTATAACTCACTATTATAACTCACTATAATATAAATAGGAAAAGATTGTTGGATTTCTTTACAAGCTGAATATTCTCAAGGTGGCTCTGTACATACAAGCCGATACCAAACACAAAAACAAAAATTGACAGAAAATTCACTGTTATGGGAGATTCTATCTACACCATGGTTGAGTATTTCCGGCAAAATACTATCACTTGTGGCATTATATATGACTATTCCACTCTTGATCTCGAGAACAAATCATAATCGACCATTTTCACGGTTTCTTCTGTATTCTAGCGATATTTTTTGTTTATTAAATTTTATCGGACTTGCTCTACCAATACAAAAGCCGAATTGACCCACAAGTGACCAACATACCTCGTTTATCAGCGATACAATTTTGACATCGTGTCTGGTCAAGATTGCTTTGGATTCAAATCTGAGACAATAACCTAAGTTCCTACTTTATTTTATTTACTTATAATTCGCGGTAGTGAGATATTTTGTACGAAAGGCGAGACAATTTTATTCTGGCTGGACGTTTCATGTGTAATTTAAAAAGTTTGCATATTTGTTGACAATCTGACAAAACAATACTAGAATTCAAATTCCTTTTTAAAGTAATCTTCAGTAATCACTCAAGTTATTTTGACTGACTGATATAATTACCAGCTGATGTAGCGCAACTCATAGGGTTGTTGCGCGTGGATACGAAGGTCGATGGTTCGAGCCCTCGGCGACGACATCTTTTTTTAAAATTATTCCATGTCACATAAATTCAATTTATTTTGTTTGATTTGGATAGCAATTGTATAACTCTTTTGAGAGCAACCATCTCCAAGATAATAAAAAAAATACTATTTATCAAAATTGTACATTCCACTTTGTGAATAACTATAAGTAGGTAGTTAATTTCTAAGAAATTGAATTCTGTATTTCATTACTATCATTATGTTCTTCTTCGCAGTTCGAGTTGGAATATACTTAAATTATGTTTCCTATTTCTTATATATATTGTCTCATTCAATCATGAAATAGTCATACGAATACAACTCGTGATACTATTTTTCCTGGAAATATTCGTCGATTGACATACTCCAGCTTGCTGCTCTAATTTCGCTCATGACATTGATCCAAAACTACTCGCCTACGGCTCGTAGTTTTGATAACAATGTCATTCGCGAAATTACTAGGCAACAAGCTGTCGTAACAATTACCGAATATTTCCGGCAAAATATTATCACTTGTGGTATTATATATGAAAATTAAACTACCTACCTACACCCATGCGGTTAATTGCAGCTTTGAGGTACGGTGCTCATTAGAGCAATGAAATTGCACAAGCTTTTTAGAAATAATAGTTTTTTCACCTCACTAGTGTGGTGAAATTAGGCTATCACACGCTTTTAAGAAACAATAATGTACTGGAAATGCTCACTTGCGGTTAAGTCACTTTACCCCACTAGTGTGTTAAAACCTCCTCACCGCACGCTCTCAAATAATATTACTCTTATGGAAAATTTACTTCTTTACTTATTTAATACTTTGAATATGGATCGAAATGTTTGTTACAGAGTTGTTGCTGAGCTGTAACGCCGATCTGACTTCTCGCGACAAACTCGGCAACACCGCCTTGCATTGGGCTTGCCTGAAAAGGCACAGCCAAACTGCCTTATTAATATTAGAAGATTCTCGAGGAGCAGATATCGTCAATATCACTAATAATGATATGAAAACGTAAGTAATTTTAGGTCAGTTCGTTTGTATTGCTAGATATGCTTAGACCTCGTCTGGCAGAAATGCGTATGTTTATTTGATCAAAATTTGTGTGTTTGTGTGGAACAAATTGCCAAAGATCAAAAAGATCAAGCTAAATCTACTCGGTTAAAAATGGTCGAGCAAGAAAAGCAGCTCAGTTTAGTCGGTTACCATAACCTGTAAAAACAGCAAATTAGGATGAAAACTAAAAAAATTCGAAAATATCGTTATAGACGTTTTAGTGAGCGACCTAATGGATAGGTCATGGAAATTATGTTTTAAAGACGATTTTTTTTTCTCTGAGCGCACGAAAGGAAATGCTAAGTATGTATAATAAGGAGATTTATAGTTATTTATTATACAAGGGAAAAAAGTTGTAGATAATTAGCTCGAGGTTTTGTGGTGAGACAAAAAACCGTGAGCTGAAATCTAATATTTCTCCTATGTATAATACCCTATTTTTTTTCTGAGACAGAAGATGTTACATTTTATCAAAATCAGAAAATTATTGAACTGAAATTTGAAGTTTTTAACAGGAATTACACCTCCGTTGCAGGCATCTTTTTGCAAGCATATTTATCATTCTTTTGAAGTAATCAAATATCTGTCAGTCTAATTCAATGATTTGATTTCAAAAAATTGCAAACTTAGTGGTTGTTTAGTAATTCAAGTAACCGGGAAGTGGAATGGAAGATAAAAGGACTTTCCGTGGGTATGGAAAGAAAAACCATCTTGAGAATTGATCGACTTTTGATGTCTGTGCATTCCATGTCATTATCCGAATTCTCATAATCGATCAATTCCAAAAATATTCGAGACTGACTCAGAAGTGTTCGTTTGTATGACCACCCTGCTAATTTTTCTGCCCATATCTGATTTGTGACGTCATTTATTTTATTTGATCGGCTTGCTCTAAGCATCGCCAAGGAGACAAATGAACATACCTGATTTATCAATCCTTGATCAAGTTGAGATATTGGATTTTTTTTCCTTGTTTCTTTTTTCATGGTTCTTCTTAAATTTCGATATTCGTGCTCAATTTTTCTTGATAAATTATCTGCACTATCTGAATATAATAAATTACTCGATATAATCAAATTCAAATTTCCTAATTAATAATAATAATGACAAATCGTAAAATTACGTTTTGATTCCGAATCTATGCCAATTTTGTTAATGTTTGTTTTCGTCCGCAAACACTTTTTGTCTGCTGCACGGTTGCCAGTTCAACTGAATTTTCAATGGATCTCCTGATTTTCTTGATGATCTACTGAGAGATGTATAGATATTTAACTGGTGGGCTCACTCTTCAATTGTTTCGTCAGACTAACTCTCGATATGGAACAATTGCAAGCGAGTTTTGGACGTGGGGTTCAGGTATTTGCGATAGAGGCGCCATAATCGGAAAATCGTTCAAAACCTTGGTTCTGTGAGGAATGAATCTATTTCCATCATTGTTCTGTGGTCGAATAAATACTGTGCTCAACATTTTCATTCAAATTTCAATTTGAAATAGAAGCAAGAAATCTTTTTTGTAGCCGATTTTAATAAACTTCACTTCTTTCATGACATGAACCTATTTAAAGCATGAAATCTGATGAATTTCCTCTTTGAAGAACCAGAACAGAGAATGTATCAACTATTGAAATAGACCAATATCGAAAATCATAATAGGCAGATATGGTAACTGGTACTCACCCTAGAATTTATTCACACCAGTTCACGCTAATATTTCAAATCACTGAAATAATACTGTTGTAGAACAGAGATTTTCTTTTTTCTATGGTGGATTAGGTATCAAGAATATTTTTGACATATTGACGTTTCGATCCTTTGATCAGGAATCAGTTCACTGCTCTGATCCAAATCATATACGTATCCAAATATTTATCGGTCGGTAATATGTTTCCTGTCAATATGGATTGTAACCAGGATGAGCTTAGCGAGATTTACCCACGTCAAGTATGTTTATCAAAGGTTTATCAGAGTAGGCGCCATCGAGAAACTTGCAAACGACCTTCAATAGGGAGCAAGCGCACCAGTTAAATTTCTATACATCTCTATCTACTGATCTACTGAAACATTTCATAATCTACTGAAAAATATTTTGACACTAATTTATTATTATAATTACCTATATTGCCATTAATCTCCAGTTAATCACATACAATTATTATGAATTGCATGATATTTCGGCACGCTCTAGCTGTTCAAATTGATTTTAAAGAATGAGTAATAAATGTACTTATAGGTACTGATGATATGTTCAAAGCCAAAGAGGACAATACTTTATCTGATTCAGATCAAATTCAATCTTTTAAATACCTTTGTTATATAACAGTTTGTTTCTTACGCCTAATTTTTTGTTTTTGTTTGTTTTGTTCTGTATTTTTGTTCATTTTCACTATTCGTTCCTGTTTTTATATACTCAAATCTTATACGTACCTATGTAACTGTATTTCGTTATATTTGTGAGTATTCTTGAATTGAGAATAAGGAATATATTTCATTGCATTATCCTTTCTTGGAATTCGTATAGCATAAAATAGATCTCGAAAAGCTTGGAATTCGTATAGCATAAAATAGATCTCGAAAAGGTCTATTGAAATCTACTGAATTTTTGCCAGGGTATTTACTGATGGAATGAAAATCGAACTGGCAACCCTGGTCCGCGCGGAGAGTGAGTTTACAACAACTGTCATTTGCTGTTGTCAATCATTTATTCATGAAATCTGATAGATTTCCCGTGTGAATAGGCCCGTGATGTGATTAAAAGTGTTTGTCGTCGACAAAAAAATGTAATATGCACCTCTGTGGAAAACTGTCTATTTTTTCGCCTGATTGCTATCCTCGGCTAAGGCCTTGGCTATCAATTTGCAGACCCGACTATAATATACATTGTTTCGTCCTTGGTACATGACTAACTATTTTATAAAAGCTTGTCTTAAAAATATTCTTTTGAAAATCCCTTTGTTTCTCCAGTCCTCTTCATATTTCGGCCAGAAACGGCTTGGTGCACGTGACCCAAGAGTTGCTCAAAAAAGAGGCCTCGATATCGGCCGTGGATAACGAAGGTTTGACGCCTGCGCTCTCGTGCGCTCCCAACAACAACGTGGCGCAATGTTTGGCCCTGATATTGCAATCGCTGCCACGGTTCATGGAATCGAATGCTTCGACGAACGGTGAGTTCTCAATTTTTTTCTATATATGTACGAAATTATACAGTCAGTCTGAAAAAGTTGAAATGGAAAAGATTCTATTATTCCAGTTTTTGTATTCATCCACTTTCATTATAGGACGTAATTGTAATTTTTGGAAAAGACTGAGGATGGACATATACAGGGTGTATCAAAAAAACCTAACTCCCTTGCTAGGGTAGGTAGAACATCGCAAAATAAGTTGGGTTTGCTCAGTAAAAAAATGTCATAACGTCATCAGTTTTCAAGATACAAGGTGTTGAAACAATATTTTTTTACACATTTTTTACGATAATGTTGAAACTACTGGCAACATTGTGATGCAATTTTGTATGAATGTTTATTGGAATCTGACACATCGCATGCATTCGTTTTTATATCTGACTCTCATAGTGGGCGCTAGTTACACGGTTCGTACCAAGTAGTTTTGAACATAACTTTTTTGAGGTTAAATTTTTCAATCCAAATTTGATGTGAATTTGAACATCATTCAATTTCACACCAAAAAGGTACTCTTGGTAAAACTTGATACTGTGTTCCGTTTTCGGAATATTTCGATTTGAAAATGATGAAGTGGTAACTGTTCCTGGTATAAAGCTATGTTATATAAGTGATTATTATGAAAAATTATCACCTATACATTGAAAACCGAAAACAACAATACATTTCTGATGCAAAACTCATTGATTTAACGATGAATCACAAGAATAACATCGAAACAGATTTGACTAAGAACATGGATTACACAGTTTTGTTGTATCTTGAGCAGAAAGTTTATGCTATACATAGGTAAATTCACGTCAAGAGTTGTGAGACATAATTGAACATCACTCAAATGACCTAAAACCTGGTCCTCAACTGTTCAGAAGAATAATTCATTTTTAGAAAAAGAATATAGAATCGTGTATTCCTCGAAACGTAGGACATTTTGAACACTTACTCTAACTGATTCAATATTTCATGTTTCTAGTCAAATATGTCTTAATTTTATACTTATGATTCTTTGTTTCATCAATAACTTCAGCACAAGAATGATTTTATTGTTTCTGAACCTGAATGAATAGGTAATTGAACTCAATAAAATTCATTTTATACCAGCAGCATTTCTACTCCATTATTTTCAAATTGAAATATTCCGAAAACGGAACATAGTATCGAGTTTCACCAGGAGTAACTTTTTGGTGTAAAATTGAATGATGTTCAAGTGCATATCATATTTGGATTTGGAAACCTAACCTCAAAAAAGTTATGTTCAAAACTACTCGGTACGAACCGTGTAACTAGCGCCCTCTATGAAAGTTAAATATAAAAACAAATTCATGCGATGTGTCAGATTTCAAGAAACATCCATACAAAATTTCTTTACAATGGTGTCAGTAGTTTCGGAATATTCGTGTAAAATGTGTAAAAAAATAATTTTTTCAACACCTTGTATCATGAAACCGGATGCCGTTACGACATTTCTCCACTGAGCAAACCCAACTTATTTTGCAATGTTCTACCTACCCTAGCAAGGGGATTAGGTTTTTTTGAAACACCCTGTATATGTCCGAAACATGTACCCAAGTAATTTGACCTGTTGATCTTATCAAATGTTGTGGAGATGACTCCGAGTATCATTTAGTAGTTACTACTTCACTCCACTTTAAGAAACTATAGACTTCCAGCAAAGATGATAGTATATGAAGTTTAATTTATTTTCCTACAGGGAGTTCTGAAGAAATTATTATAAACGTCAATTTGTTTCGTACTTTCGACGTCCTGTATCTCAGAGAGAATGTATTTTTAGACGTATGTTGATAGGAACTTTTCACATCAAAATGAGGTTAGGAATCCGTGAAAAAAGTTTGTCGGTGTTAACATGACTCACCCTGTATACAGGGTATTACCGAAATAGGGGCGATGAATAAAATGTGATGTTCTATGAGACCTAATGACACGATAAATCAGAAGAAAAAAATGTTTCCAAATTATTTCAAAAAATGTGCGCTCCCACCATCATCTCACAACTATTTCTTAAACGTCCGGCAACATTGCAAAAGTCAATGATACTCCCAGTGCTTGTGATCTCGCCGAAAGCAAACGTTTGAGTTGGGCTTTCAACCTCTGATCAATACTGTCTGTAGGTTAATCGAGGAGGTGGTAAAGTATTTCCAATATCAATTGCAGAATATCCTGCACTGTACGGCGTCGGCGTGTTTGAAGTTTCCTTTGAAGTGACTGCAGGTGCGGCACAAGATTCTGCAATTGTTTTTGGATAAACTATACAATAATTCACAAAAGTTTCAGGCAACCTTTGAGGCTCAATATCTTCTAAAATATTTTTTTTCTACAAAAATGTATTCTTTCATTTCGTTTTGTTTTTTCGTCTCCTGTCATCCATATCATTGATCGCCCCAATTTCGGAAACACCCTGTATAAAAAGAATGCGAGATGATTTTTCCTGCTTTCTCATCGGGTATGACTCCAAAGAAATTTCACTGAACCAATTTTTATCTGTTCTCAGATTTTTTGTGCCTGTCCTCAGTATGTCAAATCCCATCCAAACCCAAATCTACCAAGTCCTCGCAAACCACTGTGCCCCATGCCACCAAAGTTCGAATTTTCGGTCGCCAAAGAAACGTCAAAGTGCGCAATCTCGAAGATGGCGATATGCATTGTTTCATCGAAGAAAACGAGGATTTTCACGCGGATCAGCGGATGGAAAGACAGGAGGAAAAGCTCGGTTTGAGTCTTCATGGGTCTCGTAGCGAGACGTCGATTGTTCCTCAAAACGAGTGGAGACACAATAGGCCAGTCATTTTGCGCTGTCAATGGGGGACTCCGCTCCAAGTGGCCAACCTTAAAACCTCTACCAATGTAGAAGTAACATTGTGGAAGTATTATTATTCAAATGGCTTTATTTTGATGAAATCTGATCGTAGGAGTCTACTCAGCTCACTAATAGAAGTTATTCAGAAAACAATTAATTTTCGTGAATTCCAGTTCAGATTATTTAAAAATTATGCTGATTCTAAAATATGTCATATCTTCGTCAATTTTATTACTTGTCACATTTTTGTTACCTATTTATGATTATTTTATTTATTAACAACACTATTATTCATCATTCTTTGATCAAGAAGTTTGATCGTTGCAGTGGAAGTAGGAATATATTAATGAAGTTTCAACCTTTTCCTGGTGTGAAAACACCCAAGGAAGTGTCTTTAAGTGGAAACGAAGAAATCACAGTCAATATCATAAATAAATGAAAACACTAACATACCTATGTAATTAATAATAAGCATTGTCTTAGTAAAAATAAAAATAAGGAAAAGGAATCATTAAATAAATATTCTTAAAGCTTACACAGCTTACCTTGGATAAAAACTGGTTAAAGATAACTAATGTCGGAGTACAACAATATCAAATTAACATACCTTCATTCACATAATTGTATATATGTTGTGATATGCCTTCTTACTTATTTATGTATGTATATTAGGGTTTCTAATTGAATAAACAATAAAGATCTATCTATCTAATTAGACAAAGATAGTTTATGGGTAGCTGATATCAAAAGACTATTCCAACATCATAATATACAGGGTGTTCCGGTGATCATGTTACAAACTTCTAGGGTAGATAAAACACACGAAAATAAGAAAAAAAGTTCATGTGAACATGGGTCCGGAAACGCTTCTTCAGGGAGCTAGGGCCCTTCGAAGATGACCTTCAAAAACTACTTTTCGTTTTATAGCTTCGGTACTACTGCAGCTATCGCAACCAATTTTGGGACATGAAATCTAGTTCAATTTGAGCCTTCCGGATTTTGTCACCTTTAACCAGGGGCGTACAAACCAGGGGGGTAATAATTGGTTTAAGACCAATAATTTATTATTGATTGGATTTAGCCATTTTCGGAAGAAACGGTGACAGATAGCGATTTCTACAAGAGTACCTTTTTTATGTAAAAGGCATTGGAGAATCATAATCAGATATAAAAATGGTAAGAAATTGAAGCCTAAGAGGAGTAGGGTCAAATTTACCCAAATACCCCCCTGGTTTGTACGCCCCTGGTTAAAGGTGACAAAATCCGGAAGGCTCAAATTGAACTAGATTTCATGTCCCAAAATTGGTTGCGATAGCTGCAGTAGTACCGAAGCTATAAAACGAAAAGTAGTTTTTGAAGGTCATATTCGAAAGGCCCTAGCTCCCTGAAGAAGCGTTTCCGGACCCATGTTCACATGAACTTTTTTTCTTATTTTCGTGTGTTTTATCTACCCAAGAAGTTTGTAACATGATCACCGGAACACCCTGTATATATTACAGCATGAAATATTATGGGCAGCGAGGAACTATAAATGAACAACAATAAATACAGTGTGTCCATTTAGTGCGTAATTCTTCGATATCTCGAAACTAATTATCACAAGAGAAAAACTTTGGAAAAAAAACTTGTTCAGTTACTAAAGTTGCTCATTTCGAAAATATTTCCAACGATACTGGGTGTTCCATAAAAGCAGGGCAACTCGAAGACGAGTTTTTTCAAATGGAACACCCAGCATTGTTCATTCGAAATTTATTCCGCTCGAGCTCAGCTCTAAATCGCTGTAAAAAAAATTGAATTTGGTTGCGGCGTTGCCAAGTTATAATTGATAAACCCATTTTTACTACTATTGAAGGGTCATGTTCAATTGGGTATGGTATATTTATTTATTGAAATTTCGAAAATATTTTTGGCATACAGTAGTAGCAAGGTCTCACGTATACCAATCCAGTAATCTTGCGAGATAATCCTCTACAGGGTGCTAAAATTTACATTCTGAATATTGTAAGATTCAGACGACGATCATGAGAAATTTTCAAATGGAACACCCTGTATTTTTCATCACGGATTTATTTCGACATCATTCGCCTTTCAATCGCAGAAAAAAAATTAAAATCGGTTGCGGCGTTTTCAAGTTATGAGTAATTTCCTTATTTTTACTACTATTTCGGGGTAA